GGATTTCCACTTTCTGACTCGTATCATGTTTGACAGTGAGAACAACTCCATGCCAACTGCTGTCAAATGATTATGTTTGGCTTATTAAATTGTATCTGCAATTTGAGTTTGTTTTTACCTTTCATTATGAACTCATTCTCAAATAGTCTCATTGCCTTGAGGACCTATTGATAGTTTTTTTAGGTTTGTTTATTATAATATATTCTTGATTCATAAAAAAGCAGTATTATGATAATGATACTGGTAATCATTTTGCTATTTTTACAACATGAAAGCTTGTGAAAATATTTTGGCTCTCCCAAATAATTATGCCTGGGTCATTTATTCATTGGAAGAAATTGACATACAGTACTGTGACAATTTAATTCAGGTTTTTGATAGGCTATGTGTTTACGTTAACTTCAAGAACTGAAACACATGATTCTGGATTAATTAAATTGTATTTGTTATTGTCTTTTCTTGAATCTAGAAAGAGCTTCAAACAAATTTTACTAGTCTTAGAATAGATATATAATTATATTTTTACGCCACACTACACTATTTTGACGAACTTCCCATGCAAGGATTTAGTCCATAAAACAGCTGTTTGTCCTTAATCAAATGGGGTTTCATACAGTACAAGGGCGGTTCCAGGGCTAATTTTCGGGGGGGGCCATTCTATCTCGACCACCGGGGGGTATGGGGGGTATGACACGGACTTCTAAATCCGTGGGGGTAAAATTCCGCCCGCGAACAAACTTTAGAGCGCTTAAGTTACTACGTCATAGTGACGTCAGATTTGCCCAGAGGGTAAGATTCCAGGGGGATAAAATTCCGGCGACTCCATACAATAGATGGGTCGCCAGAATTTTATCTATTCTATGCTATATGTAGGATATTAGCCTATTATTGGCAGGCTACGTTGGTAAGTTGTACCGCGTCTCTGCTTCCCTGATACTTGTGGAAGTGATGGGACACCAAAACCTCGTATCTCCCGAGTCCTCTCTCTCCCCGTCTCCCGTCCGACCTCCTAGACGTTTGACAGACAAAGGTTATTTTACCAACTTTTACTCGTAACTCGGTGGTACGGCCACATGCGTCGTTGTGATTTCCCTCACATGTTCTTATTACCGGGAAAGAAATTTATTCCAAAAGTTTGATACGATGTTCATGGAATTTTAAGTTAAAATCTGTAAATAAATCAAATTAACAAATTACAAGGCATAAATTGTGAAATTTATTCCAAAACGGCAAGAGGACTATTTTACATTATACTGAAAACTGGCCGATATCATACTAGAGATGTAAGTTATCGTTGTTTCCCAGCAACGCAACTTAATTTTAGTAGGTATTTTAGCAATTTATAGAATTATTGTCCTAGTTTCTAACATCATAATTTATCGTCATTACTTTTACTTAAATGGCTTTTTCCAATTATTATTATCATAATAATAATTGGAAAAAGCCATTTAAGTAAAAGTAATGACGATAATTTACAATATGTAAATATATTAATATAATTTCCAGTATCCACTTATTTTTATTTCTTAAAGCATTATCTACCGTTTTGAAACTTACGTTATTCATAGTTTAACATTAAACTATGATTTCACTCTTAATTAACTGAATGTTTATAGGTTACTAAAATAAAATACATCACTTTAAGAATTTTTTATATATAAAATCAAAACAAGTCATAAGTGTACTGCTACAATACATTTGCTCATTATTTTACAAAAATAATGGAGAATTATAGTACCTGGGAATCAGTGGAGAACTAAAATGTGAAAACGCATAAAATAACTCAGGTTTGATAGCAAACAATACGTATACTTCCTGTGAGACTTCCGACCTACGTACCATTCCCACACTCCACAGCGCAAACATACACAGCGCTTAGTTTATTACTATTTGGCTATATTGCCGTAACTTAACATAACATGTGGAAGTTGCGGTGACGAGTTTAATAATTCGGTTATTTCAAGACCCACTTCCACACAACAACTAACTACCGTATCTAGATTGTCGGTACATAAACTAGTTGTCGACGATTTCGTCAAAACTATTATAGTTTTTCAAAAACGGCGTTCTGTTCTGCGGATCTGTCCGCTGCCGACTGCCGTGGCATTGTCGCAATGAAAAAAAAAAACACAAACGCAATGAATATTATAACATCGATATTTTACAATCGCTTACTGTTTGTGCCACTGCGACTTTGTTAATGTCTACACATGAGTGGTAGTAAGTTTAATGGCGGTTGCTCAATTTCGAGTCTAGGCTAACCTAACTTAGAAAACAACTAAGCCTAGGATTTAAAAACTTTCATGATCAATACTTACCATTATAATCTTGTCCGGTGCTTGAGCTCAAGACGCTCAAATGGAGATGAACATTGGTTATATCTTGTAAAACTGTGTTTTAATAACAAACACAACAAAAAACGTAACAAATTAACAAAACGAATACTGAGCTGAGCCACAAGTGTAGGTGTAACGTAATGTGGAGGTATGATCGACACGGTGACGTACCGGATGGCAGGAAACGCGGATGCGCGCGGACGCGGTGCCACGCCCACTGCCCAGACTGCATCGCTACAGAGTGCAGAGCGGGGTTTCCCAACGATTTTCCAGACACACAGTTTGTCCAAGTCTTTCAACTCTTCAGTGACACTTATAGTCCAACATGCTTATGTGCGTGTAATAGTCTATTCATGTAAATAAAATAAATGTTTAGATAAAAAAAAAAAAAAATCTCGGGGGGGCCATGGCCCCCATGGCCCCCTCTCTGGAACCGCCACTGATACAGTACTACTGTACTGTAATGAGTTTTGCCGGACACCAATCAGCTGATTACACTGTATTTGGGTGGCAATGAGTGGTTATAACAAAAACATAACCTCTCTTAGAGGTTATGACTAGTGATTTTTAGTCCTTAAGTTGGTGGTAATATAGGGATTTGAACGGATTTAGTAGTAGGCCTATGGCGTAAACTATCGTACGTCACTCGTCCAAAATGTGTTGGCCGGACTCGTATAAAAAAAAAAACACTACTCGACTTCGTCTCGCACGGGATTCAGGACTAGTAACATAATAACTATTTTACCACACTATGATGTTTTTAACTGTTTTACATATAGGTACATTAATTGGTAGCTGAAAGTTACGTTTTGCAGGCCATGCCAGCTGTCATCGTCATTTGGGGATCGAGCAGGTTTTTACATCCCTAGGGCCGCAAAATCAGCTGCCCGCTTTAAATACACAATCAGTATCCATAGAATTTCAATAGAGTTGTTTTATTGTCACCACTGCCTAGTAACTATTTTATTATTATTTTTGCTGATTCCTCAAATTATTTATCCACATGACCTTAAAGTTGTAGTTGTGTTGACTATATGAGTGTGCAGTGCATTATCATTGAGGTGAATTAGTGGTAATAGGGTATAGTGTGGTGAATAATAGCGTTCGTACCACGGACTGAAATGGTTTTGCAGTTCTCGATCGTTTTAATTCCTCGACCTCGTATCGAACTTAAAAACTACCCCGAACCAGCAAAACCTCATTTTGGCCCAAGGCACGAAATATACTATTAAGTTTAGGCCTAGTAGTAATATTTTTGAGACTGAACATTTTACACTTATTTAAAAAGGACCAAACTCGGAAGTGGATTAAAGGGCAATTTAGAGAATATCTCAAACTTGTTGACATAACTTTAAGTACTTTCTCCCCTACAATTTAATATGGCAAAAGAATTGTTTATGTAAAAACCCTGATCCCAAAAAAGTGGTTTTCGAAGTGATGTGTGTGTCTGTCTGTGTGTGTGTATGTGTTTTCCTAACCTAGCTTTTGTTTATGGTACATAGCTACAGACCACGCCTGTGGTCTGAGTCCGATTTTGATGAAATTTGGTATTTTAGGTACCAATCCATGGTCTCTCCAGATGTTTTTTTTTTTCATTTTGGATTTTTAATAGTGATATTCCATAAAACCCTATAAAATAATGGATGAACAAAATTTTCTCAGAATTGGCCCGAACGATTTTGATTAAAAATTAACATGTTATACTCTTTGACTATGAAAAAAATTTTATAAGCCCTCTATGCCGTAAAAATTATGGTTCAAAAGTTATTGCAACTTTTGTGATTTTCCCTTTTAAAACCTATTAATTCATGGAAAATCGGATTAAAAAAAACTACATGGCCAATTTGGATTCAAATTGTGTGCATGTTAAAAATCCAACTCAGTTAAATTATAAATAAGCTAACAAATAGTTTGCTACTAGAGTTTTAAAGGAAAATTGTCCATTTAAACTGGGTTAAAAGTTTGATTCAAACGCTTAAATTCCCATAAATTTAAAGAAGTGTCGGGGGCACCCCTTCCCTCCCCGCATTATAAACATAACTATGGGTTAGCCCCCAGACCTTCCGGCATGGGTTAAACAACGAATTTGGGGGGGATTCTGCGACGTGAGCTTTGGGGGGGATGGGTACCCCTGCCTCAAAGGCCACGTCGTAATATTGGTCGTCGCACCAATAATGCAAATATTGTAAGAGAGTGGTGTCGTGAACAAGAAGAACCAGATGAAGCAGTGGCGGAAGAAGCTGATAATGATAGGCAGTTAGCTAATCAATTCCAACATGAATTAGATGCACTAAAATTTTACACTTGCACTATCTGTCATTGCCAACAACTAACAGCTTCAAACCTATCACCGATTTGTTCGCGTTGTCGTTCAAATGCAACTAAATTCACGGCGTTATTGGGCAAACAAACGGTGAATCTGTTGAAAGGGAACATATTGTAGGTTGTTAGCTGCTTTAGCCATTGACAATCTTTAAATAATGCTTCGCTCATTTATGCGTCTAAAGTGTAACGGCAGACCACCCTAATTTAGTTATGTATTATTTAGGTGTGCTCTAAAAAATTGTTGTTATCACTTGCAACATAAAAATTAAATTTGAACTTCCTGATTCAAATTCTGAATTCAACTATGTAACAATTACTAAGAGCAACTATTTGTTTTAGCTTCAGTGTATTACGGTGCCATACCCACGGTGACCTCTCCATCTTACAACACAATTGTTGTTTCTTTTGATCCTGACAATTACATTAGTCAAGGAGAACCTCCTCAACTCTACCAGATTCAATACAGAGAGAAGGTAGGTGAAATCTAATCTAAGTGTGAAACAAAAGTTAATATCATTTACATCCTTTAACATCCGATTGTATGTTTAATTTTGGCCAAATCTGTGAGTTTGAGGCTGTACATGAAACTAATTTTTTTAATATAAAAGATCTGCTTCAGGATTTTTTGTTAATATAATTACTATAGTCAGCCGAACCAAATATTTTTGGTTCCATGATTATTTTATCTTGCAGGGGCGGGCCGAAGCCACAAACCACTTAAACCAAATTTGGTAAGTTATTGCCCACCCCAAGAAGTTGTTCTATTGATAGATTTTAAAGATCCAATCACCTCATTAATGCCAGTTATCTGCCAATTAATTCCTACTTGTTTAAGTGACTTCCTCTTACCAGATTACCAAGAGTTGGCCTTCTTACCTGAGTGAATATTTTTAGGCATGCACAGTGGATGGGATACTCCCTGGTGTGGATTAACGTCCGCACTAATGAGTACTACGACTATCCGCAGTACTATCCTGATAATTATATTAATTCGTTAATAGGTTAAATATATATTTATATGAGTGATTTTTACCATCGACTGTAAAATAAAGTTATGTGTTGTGGAGGTAAATTTTCCATCATAATAAATTAAATTTGTAATTCCACTGAAACTTAAATAGTTAAGTCCAAAACTAGTTGTAAATAAGATTTTAGTTTCCTTTATATTGGTTTTACAATCAAAATCAACCATACCGAGCCATGGCTTGGTCCCTTGGTCCCGGCAAGTCCCCCAGTACTTGGGAATTAAACAACTACATGATTCTGCAGTTTTAAATAACTAGGTATTCTCAAATTAATATTTTTATCTAAACAGGCTATTATGAACATGCTTTCTTATTATTTACTTTGAAATATTTTTGATGACATCATCATGTTGGCAACACACTTGTAACAGTAGGTACATCATAATGGAGGTACTCACTGTTACTTTGGGTGACATAGCTCAGGAATGAAACTCAGCACTCGCTTACAAAACCCAACTTTATTAATACTCAAAACAACACAAAGAACACAAAGATTAAAATCAAACAAAAAGGTAGAGTAGACTGGAACTATATAAATCATTTAGTTAGAAACTGAAACCTCAATTTGGAAAAGACTCTAAACCCCAATTTTGAAAAACCCATCATTGTCTTACCTGGACCCAAGGCCAAGGGTCTTGGGCTTTAGCTCCCCCAGTAGGACCCTGTCTTCCGGTGCACCACACTTACCACTCCACACAAAACTATTCCCCTGATCAAATACACTGGCCTACTTAAAGCAACAGCTTTCAGTTGGTTAGCACAACATGTTACTGTTTAACAACACCCCCAGTCTACTAACAAAACATTGCCAAACACTTCCTGCTTACAATATTTGACCCCTTCAATTACACACTTGTATTGATTGTTGGCAACGACTTAGGGTATTATTGCCCAAGTAGGATAAAGTATATTTTTGCATTTTCGTTTCACAAAAAAATTTGCATAAGAGTGTCATATTAAGGAAAATGCATTCTCAAAAACTGCCTGATATTTGTAGAAAATGGTAAAAGTTGGTAAGTGGTGGTAAATTTCGATTGGACACTCCAATCATCGTCAGACTCAATAGGCGAATGGGGTCAACATTAGGTTCAGTATGTTTCTTCCGCAGCTTTATGGACTTTAATATAATATGAATCCATGTATATTGTATATTATTGACAAAAGGTGTAGCCGTTGACAGAAAGAATTAAATACATTATTATTTCAACTGAGAAACAAGTTAAAACTAACAATAAATTTAAGCGATGTACAAATGTTTTGTTTTCATCTAATTAGTATTTTTTGCAATTTACTGATTGCATTTTAATGACCACAAAGCACGGTTAGAATGAATTTACGGAACAAAGCAGGTCCCATTGGTGGTAGATAGTGGACAGCACTTTGTAACGTAAGCAAAGATCAAGAGTATGTTTATAGTGATTTTTAAAGTATTTACTAGGATTGCTTAAACAGCAGTGAAAGCCAGTTGATCACGTTTCATGGTTTTTAATAAAGCAAAAAATAAATAAAATGCTTATAGATATAATATCATCATGCATGGATCCAATTAGTAGATGTAACTTTTTGAAGACTTGCCTGCTTTGAGAGAGTTGCACAAATAGTTTTCACCATACCTTATGATGTTTGTTTTCTTAAATTTTATAAATTTAACATAATTATGAAAAGCATTGTTTTCAAGCAAGTGTTTTACATTCAACTATCTCAAACATTGCCAGAAGTAGTTGTTTGTGCGTTTCAGGGGTTTATCGCTCGTCTTCATTTTGTAAAATATCAGGCAGTTGTTGAGAGTGCATTCTGAAATTTTCCTTAATCCTTATGCAAATTAGGTATTTTCTTGTTAAAGGAAAACGCAAAAATACTTGATCCTTCTTGGGCAATAGTATACCCCAAGTCGTTGCCAACACAATAACAATCAATACCACTTCCTACGTCCGTCGTTGACCTGTTTCCCTCCCTTACCATAGCATTTTAGTGTTTTTGGTACATTAATCTAACTCCACAGACGTTTCCCATACACTCCCCACCTTTGGCCTTTACTACTTCCTTCACCACTTCCTACGTCGTGGACCTGTTTCCCTACCTTCCTATAGCATTTTAGGATTGCAGATACATTAATCTAACTACCACAGACGGTTCCCACACTCCGCACTGTTAGCCTTTACCACTCCCTTCACCATTATCTACGTCGTGGACCTGTTTCCCTCCCTTCCCATAGCTTTTTATTATTTTTGATACATTAATCTAACTGTACTGGCTACAGACGGTTCCCACACTCCAAACTGCTCGCCTTCACTCCTTCCTTCAATCCTTCACCACTTCCTACATCCTGGACCTGTTTAAGTTTGCCATTTATGAGATGGATCCACCGACGGATTGTTTAAGAATCCATGATAAATGTTAATTTGTATAACCTCTTTTAGCTACGTAAATCAAATCTGTAATACACTGTACCTAAGGGAGTACATTTTATCTATGATTGCAACTATTGGATCAGTGGTCGTTTCGAAATTGCGACTTAAATGTAAACTTTAGACTTTCCCTGTATTATTTGATCAGTGGTCATCATCCAAATTTTTTTCCTTTGTACTGTGTTTGGGTCGTGGCTTGATTTTAATGCTATGACTCTTTGTTTTGTTAAAATTTACATAGTTATTTTGTAACCATCATGCCAACCCATAAGGCCAATGTTAAAATTTAAAAACTTTGAGTTACTTTTCAATTATATAGGCGTTATCAAAAATTGAAAAAGGTTTCGTCTAAACCATCCAAACATTTTACAAAACAACCTTGGTAAGTTTGGCTAAAATTTGTTCAGCTGTTATTGAGATTATGTCCTGTCACTATTACAGTTCAATTATTTTTATTTAAACTTTTGTTCTTGTAACTCCATTAACATCATATTTTCACCTCATCATACCTTCTGTCATTTATTTATTCATTGCATTTGATTATTAATGTTTATGTTTTGGACGCAACTACAGTCGAGGCACAGGCTCGCTGCCCATGTCGGCTTATTCCTTATAAACATGTACGCTTTTTTTAAACTTGGATGTAATGTAAAGGTTAATTTTATTTTATTCTTAAGGGGATTCGCCACTGAAAATAGGTAAAAATCATGAAAAATTGTAAAAATATTTTTTTACATTTCATTGTACATTGGACCCTATTACATCCAAAAAGTATGATATAATCCATGTATGAATGTTATTATATGTTATAACCAAGGGGTTTCGCTCTTTACGATAGCTACAAGATCATAGGACACCTTCTTATTCAAACGCGGTTATCCGCAACATTGAAATTTCACGTTTTTTCAAAACAAAATTTGATATATCTTGAGAGCCACTAAAGGTACATTGTTGAAATTTTTACTACTTATTCTAGACAGTATTAGGAAAATATTTTGGTAGAATTAGGTATCTAAGTTAATTAGGTACTGAACAATAACGTTTTTTTCAAACTAGTTCTTTTTTCTGAAGAAAAATTATATTTAATATGTCACAGCAAAAAAAGTATCTGAGATATTATTATGAATCTACCTAAATTTTAAGTTTAGATATCTGTCTTTAAAGAAATACCAAATTTATCAAAATCCATAAAGAACTCTCTTCAGAATATCAATTTTTAAAACCCCTTACAAATTGATCGAAAAACCTCTATTTTATTTTTTTACCGCCTATAATTTATATTTAGAAGTAAACCAAAATTTTTCAATTTTTTGTTAAACTATACCCTACTAGGAAAAAAATAGTTTAACGACTTTAGTCATTAAATAAAAAAATGCACCCTTTTCAGTGGCGAATCCCCTTAAATTCACTTATGTTTTTTTTTCTTCCTTTAAATATTTGTGTACAAATTCTGTATATACTTTGTTGGAATAAAGAAATAATTCATTCATTCATTCATTCATTCATGTGTTATAAAGTTTGCATTGAAGTTGATCCCAAAGAGCTTCGCTCAATTAGTGTTGTATAACACAATCTATAACCAACTTTTGTTTGCCAAAGATGAGGAAATCAAGTATTACAAGTTATAAAAGGTTTAAATACCTGCTATTAAGCAATCCAATTTTGTTGTTGACACAACTAGTTTCGGTGTCTGTGTGACACCATCATCAGGCTGCACAAGGACAGTTTTCTTTCTTCATACGAAGAGCGTCATATTTACACGAAAATAATAAATAAACATTTAAACACGACACAAACACGAATACGAGACATTTATGGTAACTGATCAGTTAAGAAAACAGACGACGCTAACCCGACGGAGTTTGAGTCTGGACTCAAAACACGACACAAACACGAATACGAGACATTTATGGTAACTGATCAGTTAAGAAAACAGACGACGCTAACCCGACGGAGTTTGAGTCTGGACTCAAACTCCGTCGGGTTAGCGTCGTCTGTTTTCTTAACTGATCAGTTACCATAAATGTCTCGTATTCGTGTTTGTGTCGTGTTTAAATGTTTATTTATTATTTTCGTGTAAATATGACGCTCTTCGTATGAAGAAAGAAAACTGTCCTTGTGCAGCCTGATGATGGTGTCACACAGACACCGAAACTAGTTGTGTCAACAACAAAATTGGATTGCTTAATAGCAGGTATTTAAACCTTTTATAATATTATTTGGCAATCCGGAGGCTAACAACTACAATGATATTACAAGTTGTTTATTGATATATTTAATTAAATTTGGAAACTTTGTTTATTTCATACTATGCTACCAACATTTTAATGAAAAAAACATTCTTCATAACCTTCCCTGTAGCAGCAATCCTAAGTACTCATTAAAATTCATGTGATTTAAATAGGAAATAAATCTGAAAATTTTAAGGGATTGTTTTAGAAGAAATCCAGCCAGATAAATGGAAATCCCCTTAGGCTGCAGGTTTGCTGTGGCGGGGGTATTTTATATTGTCAAATAGTTGTAAAAAGTGTTGATTACTTGTTTTAAGTGTTGTGTTATGTATTTGAGGGGAGAGAGGCTAATAACAACAGCACTATTAACTTGTACTTGTTTAGTAAGTTCTCAGAGGGCCGCAGCAAACATAAGGTGTTTGTTGGTAGGAACATGTAGACTGAGGGTTGATCAGTTCAGTGTGACGTGATGTTACACCATTAGTAAAAGTCCCAAAATGCAGGCTAAAAAATGAATAAAATAAGAAAACTTAAACCCCATGAACTTCCTTACTTGAACATCGAATGATTTAACATATTGCCACACTTGGGAATAACGAATAGAAATTCTATCGAATAGCACTATTCATTAGTTTTTTTGGCTAACTTCTATTTTATTAGTTTGTTTTTAAATTAACTAACTAATAACTTCTATCAGTTACTTTTTACGGGACTAACTAATAACTTCTAACTAGTTAGAATTTTCAACTAACTTTCCCAACTATGCGGAAGCATCTCAAATACTGGTTATTTATTTCACGTGATCAGTGAGAGTTGCGTGCCGCCGTGAGAGGTCAGTGCCCTTGTAGACAAACAACGCGGGGGGTGGGGAAAGAGAAAGTCAAAGTCCAGTTGCTTTGGAATGCAGTGGGCCTGTGGAAGGGTAGTGACGGCCATTATCAACACCCCAAGCACTGATGGGTGGAAAGGGGAAATGTTTGTTTGGTGACTGATATATCATCTCAAGTTTCAAAACATTGTCTTTAGTTGATGTTCATTATCTGACCAGTTTAATGTCATTTGTTTATGTTGTAGTAATGTAAAATGTGACAATGTTTGATTAAAACACAAGTACCAAGGGACCGATCTTGCTCGAGGTGTTTGATTTGTTCAAGAGGTAAAAAATAGAGCTTACAAGCCTACAAATATTTTCAGTCTTACTACGATTAATTAAGTATTAAAGTCAATTCGTTTTTGTTAGACATCCACTTATCCTCAATTTAGTCTACAAAACTTTTTAATTTGGTCGATCAATCTATAAAATGTCCACAATAAGCTTCAATCAATATAAAACTCATGATACATAACATCTGTTATCTGACGACCATTATTGCATTATGTCACTGGGATCGTGGAACGTTGCAACTATAATTACGGGATGGTGTAATAACGCACCATTTCGTGCGGTGCATCGTCGAAAAATACAAATCTCCTTGGCCTTTCCTTTAGATTTTTAGTTCAATGTCAGTGTATATTGTTTTGCAGTAAAACACTTAATGTTTTTGAACAGTTGTAATTATCCCTTTGGTTAGTAAAACATCATACAATTCAAATGTATTATACAAGCAATTTTCAATAGCATTGAAATTGGAGGAAATCGTAGGAGCGATTTTTTAAATCATATCTTGCGCAATCTTTACTCATATTATAGTATATATTAGTAACCAAGATGTTACATTAAAAAATACTTTAAAACAACTGCCCAACAAACAACTAATTTCTACTAGGCTAAAACTAACTTTATTTTCTATCAGTTAGTTTTTCAACTAACTAATAACTTCTATCAGTTACTTTATAAACTAACTAACTTATAACTTCTATCAGTTGCTTTTTACGGGACTAACTTATAACTTCTAACTAGTTAGAATTTTTGACTAACTTTCCCAACTATGCATATTGCCAACGCCAACACAAACATACAATGTTTAATAACTGTTGTATTGAAATGGTATACCTATAAAAATATCTTACAATAAGTAGGACTAATATTTTGGTTTTAAACAAAATATACTGTCTCAAATTTTGTTTTATAATACATATTTTTGACTGTGTTAATACATTTACAATGACAATTTGTAAACCATTCATTATGTCTTTTTTGTATTTTAGTTTTTTACCATGCTAACAAATCAAACACTGAGCATGGCAGGGTGTTCTAGTACTTAATACGATTATCAGATTTCATTGTTATTTCCCATGATAATTTACATATAGGTACTGTCAACTAACATGCTTTTTTGATGCTCCAGACTAGAAGAAGAGACAATTATTAACTTTCTTTAAATATTATGAACCAATATTTGCACAGTATATATTCATTTGCAGGGTATTAAAAATTAGCTTTAGTATCATAAATATATATGAAAACACGGAAAATCGTTTCCTTTGTGAATCTTATAAAGAATTGGTAAAACGTGTTGATTTATCCATACAAAATGTATTATTTCATGACAAGATCTTAAAACTTTATCAAAACACATATTTTTTGTATTGATTAACAGAACAAAATCTAGTTATTAGGTAAATGCTGTTGGTCTTCTTATTGTTTTTTTTCCTTTTTCAGGGAAATCAATGGAAAGTGCATACAAGTAAAGCCATTCTTAAATCTGGTGAACCTTCTGATAAGGAGAATATAATATCAGAAAACATTGAAGGTTTGAAAGCAGGCATTTTTTACCAAGTGAGGGTTCTTCTTATTGATGCTTATCTCCAGAAATACCAAGGAAATTTAATTAAAATAGCAGAGGTCCAAACAAAATGTCATAGTAAGTATGCTCAATAAATCTGATCCGTCATAAATTAATATTGATATTGTATTACTTTATTTTACTTTTATTATAATACTTTATTATACTTTAATTACTTTTATTATATAACTATAAATCGTGGCATTTCAAATAGGGGGGTGCAATACCTAGCATTTTGAGTTTCAGTAGGCCTACCCACCTCATTTCAATTATTTATGTCAAACATTTAATAGTTAAAGGTGTACATAGGTGTTGAACATTTTTTAAATAATATCAAACAAATTACAAGGAAGTAATCTAATAAAATTTGTGCATATAAATTTAGTTTTTGTCTTCCCGGACACGGCCACTCGTATTAAAGCTATGGTTCCACAGGATGCGGAATCTCCGCCATGCGGTGCGATTTTTTCCGCTGCGGAATTAAAACGACACTGGTTTAATGGAGTTCCCATGTGTGCGGTTCCACTGACGTGCGTTTCCGCATCCCGAATTTTCGGTTCCGCATGGCGGACAAATCATACTGGTCCGAGAGCAGTGGCAGTGCGGATTCCGCCAGCGGAGAAGGGCCATCAATTAATTATTGTGACCGATCAATTTAGTTTCCTAACATTATTTCAATAACCTTATTCTTTTTGGGACTTGTAATTTTTATTCATGTATCAATAAAACTACAATTTAGGTTCAAATTATAATTTAATTAATGTTAACTATTACCATCCTCATAAAAGATTAATAAGGTGATTTTTCAGAACTAGGTCAAACATCAGTTTACAATAAAAGCAACCACAATTAAAAATAAAAGTCTGAATATTATTATTTTATGGTATTTATGGTATTATATTTGTGGTGTGTATTTATTAATACTGGCAGAGCACCCGCCCTTCGTACGGCAGTTATACTCAAGTTTTGTGTTTGCAATGGGAGAGGACACAGTTTGATAACATTTGGTTCTTTAAATTTACAGTAGGTATGCTATAGAATACCACATCTACCATAGTTATAATGTTATACCACTACACCTAAACAAAAGAAAGAGTAAATTATCAAACATTCGCAAAATGACTAAATTCTTCAATTCCTTTTAAATATAAATACTCATAAGGTTAACATGGAGAGATACAGAGCCACTGGGGCGAAGCCCGAAAGGAATTTTTGGATAAGAATATGTCTATATTGGGAATGTGAGCTATCATCATACCAAATCAAAGCCAAGAGGGCATTCCTCTTCCTATCCATTTTCGTCGCTAGTTTGAACAGAACTGAATTTCCGTAACGTTATTTCCACAGTCAGTGGAACCACCCCTCCAGATTTACACTGCGTAATTTTCCGTTGCAGAAAATTACGCACCGCACAGCGGAAGTTCCACAGTCTGTGGAACCATAGCTTCAGTAAAAACAATATTTTTTGCGTTTACTCCGCATAACATTGCACGCTTTTGTGACGCTTAACACTTGGTGGGTTAAAAGTTCCAAATAGAACCAAATAGAGCATAGTTCCAAATAGAAGTTCCATCGCCAAATAGAACTGTAGGAGTAAGGAGTTATAGTGCAGTCATTTTAAATCCAAATTTCTCCATTACCTAAAAAAACTCTTATAAATGTAAAGCTTGGTACGTATATTGAAATTTAATTCCGGAATAACATACTAAAAGTCCTCGAAAAAAAAAACTTGTGCTACGGCCCCCATCTTGGAAAATGGCGCCCAAAAACCAGTTTTCCCCGATTACTCAAAAACTATTCATCCTATAAAAGAACACTAGGAGTACTTGTTGCTCGAATTCGAGCAATTGCTAAGTATAACAGGCGTTATTTTAATTTCTGATGACTTTAAAAGATTCGACTCAACGATTATGGAAATACTCAAGATGTACATAACAGATTGTGATATAAACATTTCTTGTGGGCCTAATGTATTATCATTTTTCAAAAGCTGATCTTGTTTTTTACTGTTTTCTACAATATTACTCATAGCCGCATTAGGTGCTCCATAATAAGGATTATAAAAAAACAACATTATATTTCTTCTACTTGGTTGTGTTCTATAACTTTCCTATGTTTCCATAGTTTGCAAATCGGCTTTTTCAATGATAACTAAGAAATGCAGCGCAGTGTTAATTCAGTTTTCTTTTTAGTATATCAAATTATCCAGGCTTTCTCGCTTTTTTCCATTGTAATATTTACGCCAACCCAAATTCAAATAGTAAATATTTCATTTCAACCAAGGCAGTAAATGATTGTAGCAAACAAATTGTATTTAGCAAACTTATTGACTGTTTACAATTAGCATACGTTCTTCTTCTCACTTTTAATTTCTGACAACAGCTGGAGTTTCATAACAATTTTTGTTTCCCATGTTAATCTTGCTTGTTGACTGGCTTGTTTTAGACCATATATGCTTTTTCTTAATCGGCAAACTTTGTTTGGTTCTTGATGAGAACCTTCAGGTTGATTCATGTATATTTCTTCGGTGAGATATCCTTGAAGAAATGCAGAGACAGCATCCATTTGGTCTATTTCTAGGTCCTTTTCAGCAGCTAATGCTAATTAATAGTGTAGAGAGCTGTAACGCACAACAGGAGAGTAAACTTCATCATAGTCTATGCCTTTGCGTTGAGCACATCCTTTTACAACAAGTCTTGCTTTGTGGCATAAGACGTTTCCATCTGCATCTCTCTTGGTTTTAAATACCCATTTTTAGTTTAAAGCCTTCCTTCCTGGTGGAAGGTCTGTAAGCTCCCAACTATTATTTTGTATCTAGGATGAAAGTTCCTGGTTCATGGCTTGTACCTACAATTCCCTATTAGGGCTTTCCATCGCTTCTTTCAGGGTTGTTGGATCGTTGCTAGATTCATCATTCTCAGCATAAAAAGTTACATAATCCTCAAGAGATTTGGGAGGTTGCCTCTGAGGTCGATCACTGGGTATTGGCAACGGATGATTTTCTTCAAGTTTAGAACTTTAATTGTCCCTATTGAAAATCTGAGCTCCTTCGTTGTCAAAAATCACAGTGTTCCCTTTGCTCAAATTTGACTGACAGACAGTAAATTTAAATTCAACCGAGGAACATAATATACCTACATTTTGAACTTTAACATCTGATGAAGTGCCTGAACCTGAAATATTTACAGAAAGGTTTTTACCTCCAATTATGTCAATTACCATAGTGGAATTATTAGCGGTGGTAATTAATACTCAATTGTGGAGATTTTCTTTTATATAAATTCAAATTTATTATAAAATTGAAATCTTATTACACATTGTGGTCTGCTGTAGAACAAAGAATAATATGACATGAAATTTTACAAGTTTGTTTAAACCTAATTATGATTATTAGACTAAGTGTAAATTAGACTAAGTGTAAATACAAATCTTGACTCATTTAACCTGTAAATATTCATTTGTAAATTTATGGTGTGTTGGCAACACTGCTTCCTTACCAGTGAAAGACTCCAAATACTTAATGTGACTGAGTCTTAAAATTAAATTTAGTGAATGAAGTGGGATGCCTACATTTCTTAAGGTAAGCCTGCTTATCCTATCCTTTCTCACACCTATTCTCAGGCAATAAGCCCTTTCTCTACAAACCTAATTATGATTATTGTTATTATTATTATTATTATTATTAGGATTATTATTATCAAGTATCACACTGTCAACACATAGCCTAAATGAGCACTAGCTCCTGAATCTAGATACCACAATCACTACTTACATCTGTTCGCATTGAAGGCAGCAAAGAGTGAATTGTCCTATTTAGACTTACAACTGTCTCTATCATTTCTCGTGCTGATGTTCCTGGATTTGTCACAGTTCCTTGATATGTGACCATAACCATTGCATTGGAAACATCGAGGACCCAATTTTAACCTTGCTATCTTGCTGTTTCTTGTCTTCGGTGGGTTTCTTTTGGCTTGAAGTGTTGTATATGTGGCTGTTCTGAAAACTTGGTTTTGAATTTTCTCTTCTACCATAACCGTACATCGCAATGCATTTGGAAGATTTATTTTCCACGGATACATCTTGAAGTAGTTTAGTTTTTATTGAATCAGCCGTTATCTTGACACCAGAACTTTCAATCCCCATGAGCATTGGTTTGAATTGATCCAGTAGTCCAGAAAGTAAAATTATTCCTACCCACTCATCATCCACTTTCAGACCAATGCTGGTTAGCTTGTGGGCCGTTGACACGATTTGATTAACAATCTTCTATGGACTTACAATTTTCTAGCCTTGTTATTGTTAACAATCACAGAAAACCAACTCTTCGGGTCAAACCCCTGTCAGAAAATGCCTTTTCTAAATTTTCCCAGGCTTCCATGGCTGTTTCTGCTGATTGGACATGGACATAATTAACTGAATCAATTAGCAAGATAATTTTGGAGTTATATTTTGTCACTTTCTTTCTATCTTCTTCAGTTCCCAAAATACAGTCCCAGAGCTCACAATCTTCCAAATGCTTGAACGGCAACTTTCCATGTATCATAGTTTTCACGGCCTTTCAATTTCTCTATTGAAGGAGGTTGATACATTCCCAAAATTGGTGAACTTGGACAAAATAATCAGATAAATTAAAAATCAGTAAACAGGAGGCCCATAACCTGATGTTGATGAAATAGCAGAGTTGAGCTGCAGCGGTTAATTACCCTGATTATAATATAAAGATACACAGTTAACATAAAACAAATTTAATTGGGAATAAGATAGAATAGAATGTAAACAGGTCAATTATAAACAAACTCATAACAATACAATAATATAACATTGACCATATATTATAATAAATTAGGCAGGCAAGGTGAATATGAAAGTTAGACATTACAACATGTTGTTTGCTTACAATAGGAAAATTTCTCTAACCGGCCCTGTTATTTCTGTAATTCAATTTTTAGTTAATCCCTTGACCAATTCATAGAATTGGACATTCCATCTCCATATGTTAAAGTTGATGCCAGTTTTTAAATGAAAATAAACATATACCTGATTGAATTGATCCACTGACAGAGTGCGCTGACGTAAATAACTAATTTCTATTGAATTCACCAAGCCAAACTGGTAGGATGCTTTTTTTTTGCTTTATGAACTATCTCAGTAACTAGAGAAAATATAATTAGTAGCAAATAAGGGACAGCTATTTCATAGATTTAATGTCTATAATCCAAAATCTATTGGTTAATCACAAAGAACCTTTTCATTACTGTATGTTTGATTTTTTTACAGTTCCTTCTATTTATAACTATAGTTTGGCAGCAGTTACCAACACAACAACAATAACAATTTCTTGGAGTGTAAGTATGACCTAAAGCTTCATTCTTTTTGTAAAATTAATGAAAATTTTAATAAATTGTTATGCACAAATATATGATCACATTCATTGTCACATATTGCAATTTAAAAAATAAAACCCATCAACACTTTTTTCGTTTGACCCAAATGTAGGCTGTCGAACATGTATACTGCCTCTTAACTATATGCGTATTTTTTTCTTTACCTGCACGATAGAGTGACACCATTTAGAGTACGTATTATTATTAACTTAATTTTAACGCTTTCACAACAGCAATTATCATACAAAAAATGCATGTATAAATTGATAGACACTATAAAAAACAAAAAGATGCAAATTATTTATTTGCCAATTATAATAGATTACATTTATTCTACAAATTATTATTTTATTAATAAAAATATCTGACGTGTTTCAAAATATATTTATAAATACTTTAAATATATAATATAGTTTCAAAAATATGTTATATATATATTTAAAATATTCTCAACACATATTTTTTTTAAATATTTAATATGAAAAATATACATATAAAATATGTATATTATAGATTCTATACTTATTTGATCAATATATATTATGAATCTATTTTATATATTCAAAACTTATATTTAATTTATATTTTGCATTGCTTTTTGGTAATATTTTAAATATATATTTGAATATATCAAACTATTATTAAAGATATATTATTTATATATTTTATTCGAGGTTCTATCAAATACAACTTTAAATATATAAAATACTAGTGTACCTGTTGCTCGAATTCGAGCAATTGCATTACAGGTGACTCAAAGATTATGGAAATACTCACAATCTACACAACAGTTAGATATAATCAAAATATTCTGTAAATATCTTATCTTTTTCTATAGTGTTCTATAGTGTTTTCTACAAATTTTTCCTTCTCGTAGTCGCATTAGGTTGTCTATGATAACGATTATAAATGAAAAAAAACATTATTTCTATTTCTTCTACTTGGTTGTGTTCTATGACTTTTTCTATTTTTCCTTTGTTTGCAAATCGGTTATTTCAATGATTGCTTAAGAAATGTAGAACAGTGTTAATTCAGTTTTATTTTTAGCCTATATCAAATTGTCCAGGATTTCTCACTCTTTTCCATTCTATACACCAACCCAAGTTTCGTCTACAGATACAATATGCCAACGAATATCACATACGTACAATATCCAAGAAGTGGTTAAAAAGGCAGAAACCAACCCATACAGTAGATATAAGTTAACTCCAAAAGAAAAGAGTTACTGTGATAATACGATTTTCCACTGATTTGGTAATAGAACATTATATTGCAAAACATGACACAATGCAGAAGAAAATCCATTTTAAAATCAGTAAAACCCATTGCAAATACTGTACTTCATTTTGACAAATTCAATAAATCACAATTTAAATATTAACAGCTGTTTCATTAAAAAGTAGTGTAGAATTATGCATATGGTCGTAATGTAAACAAATCTGGAGGCAACTTTAAAGGCTTCTGGGGCAGAGCCCCAAGGGAATTGACCTCGTTCCTCTTTTGATGGCTCATCTACAGACCAAGACCTTTCTTTAGAGACCCCTACCAAGTTTCTACGCCCAGCCGTTCTCTCAAATTAGCTGTGACAAAAACCCCGTTTTCCTCCATAAGAATAACATGGGATGGGAATTCAACGGCCACTGGGGCAGAGCCCCAAGGGAATTCACCATGTTTCTCTTTTGATGGCTCATCTACAGACCAAGACCTTTCTTTAGACACCTCTACCGAGTTTCTACGCCCAGCCGTTCTCTCAAAATAGCTGTGACAAAGAAAAACAGTTTCAAATTAATATATAGATTTATAAAATACATATTTGTGCTACTAGGGAAATTGTCCAGTATTTCTCACTTTTTTCCATTGTAATTTTAAAAATTACACCTACCAAGTATCGTCTACTACAGATGCAATACGCCAAAGAATATCGTCTACGTGTAATCTCCAAGAAGTGGTAAAAAAGGCAGAAACCAACCCATACAATAGATATAAGTTAACTCCATAAGAAATAATTTTAAGAGTTACTGTGATATTAGGATGTTCCACTGATTTGGTAATAGAACATTATATTGCAAAACATAGCACGATTCAGAAGAAAATTTATTTTAAAATCAGAAAAAAACTTTTGCAAATACTTAATTTTGACAAATTTAGTAAATCACAATTTAAATATTAACAGCTGTTTCATTCAAAAGTAGTGTAAACGTATGCATATGGTCGTAATGTAAACACATCTGAAGAGGGAACTTTAAAGGCCTCTGGGGCAGAGCCCCAAGGGAAAACAGCTGTTTCATTCAAAAGTAGTGTAAACGTATGCATATGGTCGTAATGTAAACACATCTGAAGAGGGAACTTTAAAGGCCTCTGGAGCAGAGCCCCAAGGGAATTGATCTTGTTTCTCTTTTGATGGCTCATCTACAGACTAAGACCTCTCTTTAGAGACCCCTACCGAGTTTCTACGCCCAGCCTTTCTCTGTAATTAGCTGTGACAAAACCCCGTTTTTCCTCCATAAGAATAACATGGGATGGGAATTTTAAAGGCCACTGGGGCAGAGCCCCAAAGGAATTTACCACGTTGCTCTTTTGATGGCTCATCTACAGACCAAGACCTTTCTTTAGAAACCCCTACCGAGTTTCTACACCCAGCCGTTCTCTCAAATTAGCTGTCACAAAGAAAAACAGTTTCAAATTAATATATAGAATAGATTTATTTATTTTTTTGTTTAAAGGATAAATGAATTCTCCTATATTTGGGTTGTCTGTTGTTTTCTATTAGTGAATTTCAATATAGGGAAAGCTATCAGGTAGCACAAAAAGACATGGACTCGAGACCAAATTATTTTTTAAATTTTGATGTCCCCAGAGTTTCTAAAACGTTATTTGTTAAAAATGTTATACATGAAAAATTAAAAACATCATTAAAAAAAATATTTAGTCATACACTAGCTACCTCCTCAGGAGGCCAGGGCGGCCCTCTAAGAGTCAGACGAAAATCTTGAATGTAAGCATAGGTTGATATTGCATATCAAATTAAAAGGGATTTATTAGCGGAATACAATGCCGCAACTCAATCATACAATCGAGTCAAAAATGGGGGGATGTGCGACTCTGTGAGAACCATAAACACCTTCATGAATGAGTCGCATACTATACTTTTTGCCATACTACCAGCATCAAGTTTTTTTTTACATCAGGTTTTTGCTTATTTAACCCCTTAACCGCCACGCACGAGATATGCCAGGCGATACTAGTTTTCAGAGCAACCGCCACGTACGAGTTATCTCGTGTTGACGTAATCAGCTGTTGTGTTTTATTTTTAACAGCTCACTTCCCGCCTTATCTCTGATATACGTACGTAAACAAGTTGTTGACAGTGCTGCTTGACTAGTGCTGCAATCTGGTGGATTTTAGTGGTATTATAGGTCAGTAATGGTCCCGATCAGTTCCGTTTGTAGTTTCAGTAAAACTTGTGCTTGCGGAAGCTTACGTAATGCTTACGTACATTATGCGTGTCATTATAATTGTGTTTTTTTGTGGTTATTTACTTGGTAGTGTTGAATGAGTAGTAAATATTAGTCGTAATGGCTGGTGACATGCTTGAGGATGACGATTTATTAGAGTTGTAGACTTTATTGCAGGCCTAATTTTTATTATAGGTCTAACTCAAGAAAACCCCGTACCCCACCCCCCCCCCAATCACAAATTTTAGTAGGGTATTGTTAAAGCTTAATGTTTTTGAAGATGTCTACAAACAATATTGATAACTATTTTCTTTAAAAAAAACAACTGGTACAGTTTTTTAAATCACAAGTAAAAATCGTCAAAAACGGCAAAAATAAGTGGCAATGGCGGATTTTGACTAGGCTACTTAGACGGCGGTTAAGGGGTTAAAGGTTCAAAATTTAAATTTTGTCCATTTTTACAATTGTTTTTGTAAAAATAGTTATAAGTTATAAATATTTTGCACTCCAATGTTGGATGGAAAGCTTAACAGTGGTGTTTTGCTGATTGATTATAACAAATGTTTTAACTTGAAGTACAACGCTGAAGATGAGAACTGGTGTCCTGTGGAAACTTACGAGGTGACGTGGAAGGAAGGATGGAAGAGACAAGTGGCATTCACTAAAGAGAACCATTTCACTCTCAGCCACTTAGTACCCGGGCTAAAAATCAAATATCAAGTGAGGGCTAAAACAAGGAATGGCTTTGCCCCTTACTCACCAACTATGATGACATCTGCAGTTCAAGCTGGTGAGGATTATTTGAAGATAAAGCTGGGATTTAAATTAGTGTTTATAAAGTGTCAATATTATTATTGAATTATGATTTCACTATACTTTTTATGTCAAATTTCTACTGTGATAGATAAAGTTTTCTGGAATAACGGTATCAGCAATCTGACACATACTTTCTCCCATAAGCTTGTCAACAACCTTTATCATGAGTAAGCAGTGGGAGTAACTGATATTTTAAAGGGTAAAATCACATTAGTTGCAATAACGTTTTAACCGTAATTTTGACAGAAATGAGATTAGTACCATTTAGTTCAGAATTTAAATGACTATATAAACATAATTAATTTGTATCAAAACCCGTCGGGCCATTTTTGAAAAAATCCGATTATCTGTTATTCTATAGGTTTTTATGAGAAAATCACCATTAAAAATCAAAATCCCAAAAAAATTAAATAAACACCTGGAAATATCATGGATTGGTACCTGCATACCTAATTTAATCAAAATCAGCCTACAGATATGGTCGGCAGCTCTGTACACATCCACACACACATAAGACATCACTTTGAAAACCACTTTTTTGGGTTCAGAGGGTCTCAAAATGAATATATCTACTCAAAACTCAAACTCGAAAATTTTGATAAAAACAATACTTCCACTATAAGGTGTTTCAGAATTTGTGTTGGATATTTTAGGGTATTATTCCTGGGTAAGAAACATATCAAAATGTCATATTTAAATTGTCTGGAAGATCTTAATTACTCACACAGCCGCCATTTTGTTGTTTTCACTTATTAACTGTTTTCTAAAAAGAGGTGAAAGATACAAAATTGAAACTTCGCACAAACATTTATGACAATTAGAAAAAGCTACAACAAAATTATGACAATTTTTAAAATTCACAAAACAAAATGGCGGTCATTTAAAATTTTGTTTCTTAAATACTCTAACTCAAAAACCGTTGCTTTTACACTTTACAAGGATAACTTTTTTAAGGTAATTTACTTACAAATCGATTTACACCTTACTTTTTACGATTGGGCAATATTACCTGAGATATGGCAGCTTTAGTAATGCGTGACCGCTGGAGGTTAGTTGTAGTGCATGCCGAGGCATGCGGCTAAAGCCTGCCACAACAATGGAACAATCTCCGCCTACTTTGCAAAGTATTTTTAAGCTATTTTAGATGATTTCAAACAATAATAAAATATTACAGAACCCCAAAAGTTTCTTTTTTATCAATTTATCCACCATTATCATTAGGATGGCTCAAAAATTGCAGATATTTTTACCCTCTTTAAAATTCAGTAAAAAGTCAGTTCCTCTAACCTTTTACGCTGAGTGTACACTTTAAAAGTGAGTGTAAAAAGTTAGAGGAGCTGACTACATTGAATAAGCAATAACATCATCAGACAACAATAGAATCAGTTGATTAGTTTCTAAACAAGTACGTTGACTTTCACCACAGCTGATATAAAAAGTTTGGGTGTTTTGTGTGAACTTGTACCGGTATTATATAATTTCTATGATTTTGTTTGTAGTGGTGCCTCCAGTACGAAATCTACATGTTGAATCAAGTCAGAGCTCCTCAGTTGATCTATCTTGGGATCCCCCAATAGGCAGTGGTGAGAGGAAGCTGCTGTATACTATTTTGTATGAGGTAAACTATTTTAATGACTATAAAATCAAAGACGACGACAACTAGACAAAGCTACAACAAAATTATGACAATTTTTTTAAATTCCTTCAACCCCCTAAGTGATGACTAGAGTAATCTTGTAATATTAGGAAAAAACTATGCATGGGGGGGGGGTTAATTAAAAATTAACCAAGTATTTTTAATTAGCAAGGTTAAGTAGTTTGTGTGTTGTTTGTATTATCATATGTGCACAGTTTATTTTTGTTACTTTGCTCGTCAGGATTGATCTGGAAACCTGATATAAAAATACTGAAATCAAACCTGACCAGTAAATTTACAGTACTCTAGCTGATTTTACTGTATACAAAGACTTTCTCGCTTAAAAGAACACAGAAACTAGCTGCTTACTGTGTACTGTGATAAAATGTTTATTACACACTATTATGTGTGTTCCAGTGTGTAGACCGTCCGGCATGTAGTCCTGGATGCCAGAATGTAAGTGAAGGCCAGTTGACACAAGATGGCACCTCTATCACCCTTAGTCCTTTGCTGCCCTTCACTAAGTACAAAGTGACAGTCAGGGCTAGCGGTGGAGCCGACTCTTCTATTTTTGTAGGAACAACTAGAGTTGGTAAGCTGAAACTTTGAATCCTTTGTAAGAATATACATAGGGGATCTAGGCCCTAAAATGTGGGGGGCTAAACCGGGCTGCCGGGGGGTCTGGGGGGTATGGAATACCCCTCAGTGCGGAGGGGGGCCGGGAAAAATAAAAATATCTTTGACGAAATATAACCTCCAAATACGTATTTTAGGCTATTTGGAAATCAACACGGTGAACATACTTGAAGGACCTTGTAATCGGCTAATTTACTAATTACATGTAAGAATTTCACCCTTACACATTATGAGATAATAAAAGACTTAAAGTCATCTAAAGCCCCTGGATGGGATGAAATTTCAACTTCATTAATGAAATCAAGTTCAGAGTTTATTGCTCAACCCATTGTTCATTAGATAAACATTCCTTTGTGTACTGGTGTTTTCCCTGACCTATTAAAACTATCAAACATAATACCAGTCTTTAAAAAGGGTGACTCAAAAGATATATCCAACTACAGACCTATTTCTTTATTGCCTAGTTTCTCAAAAATATTTTAGAAAGTCGTCTTCAATAGATTGTGTGATCATTTTGAAACATCCCAAATTTTGGATACATGTCAGTTTGGATTCCGGAAGGGACGGAGTACGACAGATGCAATCTTCAGCTTTATTACCCAAGTCACAGGTACTCTTGACAGATCACAGGCAGTAGCTGGTCTCTACTGTGATCTGTCAAAAGCATTTGACTGTGTAAACCGTAGCCTGTTAATACAAAAACTAAACTTTTATGGTGTGTCAGGCATGGCTATAAAGTGGATAACCTCGTTTTTATCAACGCGGAAACAGTGTGTGGACCTACGGTTAATTAATCTGAAATCTGATTTCAAATTAGTCACAGAGGGTGTACCACAAGGCTCAATACTTGGTCCACTACTGTTTTTGGTTTATATTAATGACCTACCTTTGATTTTAAAGTCAAAATCAGTAATGTTTGCTGATGACATTTCCATTATTTTCACTGATCATAGTAAAATTTTCATGCAACTAAACAGCTGAACAAGATTTCCTTCAGCTAGAAAAATGGTTTGAAGCAAATGGTTTGGCGTTAAATAAAGATAAATCTCTTCTGATGGAATTCCAAAAAAACTACCAGAAATCAGACTCATCAACAAAATTAGATTTGAATCTTTCTCTAAATTCAGTAAGCTCAGTTAAATTCTTAGGCATCACAGTGGATCAAAAGTTGACTTGGCAAAATCATATTGGTGAAGTTGTAAAAAATTAAATAAAGCACATTTTAATTTCATTATTTTATCTAATTCTGTTGACATATCCACTCTCATGATGGTTTATTACGGTTATGTCTATCACTTGTTTAATTATGGTGCGATCTTCTGGGGAAATTCAGATAGGAGAAAACAAGTTTTTAAAATGCAGAAGAGAATTATCCGTATTATTTTTGGGCTTAAAGGAAAAAAATCCTGTAAGAGTATTTTTAAAAATCACAAAATTCTTACTTTTCCCAGTATATAAATATATAATTTGATTTTGTACATAAGACAAAATTTATAAAATTTTCCAAATAACTCTGATTTTCACAACTATAACACAAGACAAAAGAATAGCCTTACATACCCTAGACATAACACCTCCACCATTGAACATTCTCCACATTATGGTATAAAATTGTATAATAGCCTGCCTAGCACCATAAAGGGTTTGACAGATTTTAAAAGATTTAAAACCAGTTTATTCAAATTGTTGTCTTAGTTAATTAGTTAATAGCTCTTAATTAATTAGTGCTGTAAATTTGCCAAATGTATAGTTATATTTATTCTTGACTTGACACAATTCATGTATAGAAATGTACTGCTTGAATAAAGGATTTTTTGATTTGATTTGATATGGAAAATACCTGACATAAGGTAAAAGAAAGGAACAGACTGATCCAAACCCTAAATGTGTGTGTACTGTATACCTAGAATCCTAAATGAATTGCTGGTTTGTAGCATATAACTCAGGTCTTCTCACAGACAAAGTCAAGAACTTGACTTTGTCTATTGAGAGCTCCAACACCTTTTTGGCAATGGTAAGACGTTATTTTTCACCACATAAAAAGTTAAAATTTAGGGTGTCTAGTTTATTCCCATTTAAAAATTCAAGACTAAGGCCAAATTTTTCAAGGCTGGATTTTTCAACAATTAGTGATGTGTTGATACCAAAATATAGCACTACTCTAAATTGGCAATATCATGTTCATTTGGTAAAGGCAAGGCTTAGTTCGAGTATATTTGCTATGAAATGTTTGTGTCGTGAATTGAATCAGAATTCTTTAATACAGGCTTATTATGGACTATTTCATAGCCATTTAAGGTATGGTTTGATTGTTTGGGGATCTTCTCCTCATGCAAATGAAGTTTTTATTATGGAAAAAAAGTTCTTAGAGTCATTGCTGGTGTAAATATGTGTCATAGTTGTAAAAATCTATTCAAGGAGTTTAAAATTTTGACTTTGTTTTCTTTATTTATACAACAATGTCTACTTTATATTAGATCCAATATTCATTTATTAGACTGTAGAAAAGATGTGCACAGTTATAATAGCCTATTCGTATTTGTAATAACATTAATTTGCCAAAAGTAAGACTAGCCAAGACAGATAAAAGACCAATGATGATTGCAATTAAGTTGTACAATAAGTTACCATTAGATATAAGACTGCTTAGTGATAAGGATTTTAAAATTAAATTAAATTATTTTCTATGTAAAGGATCATTTTATTCTATAGAAGAGTATATGTCAAGACAATGGACTGTTAAGGACTTCTGTTGAATATTATTTATTTATAAAATTGACGTGCCAATGTATTTGCATGAAATATTTTCTGGCTGAATAAAGTTCTTATTCTTAGCGATTCTCAATTCTTGATACCCAATGCCAATTTTTATAATTGAACCAAATTTTGGAATTCCACACCAAACCCTGTCTTTATGTCATAAAGTATTAATATGTAATGGGGTGTTTTTCAAGTAAAGAAAAAAATGCAGCAATAAAAACTCTCACTAGCCAAATTGGATTTTTTGATGATGAAAATCTTCCACGACCAAGTAGACATGATCATTAACTGCCTCGGACGTCATCGTCGCCGTTCGCAATCGCGGCAAAATTATGATAATTTACCACAGCCATGTAGACATTATCATTGACTCCCGCGGCCACAGAAACGTCATCGGCGGCGTCTGCGATGATCGCGGCAAAATCATGAAAATTCCCGACTTTCATATCAAAATAAAGACTAAATCCCAACTTTTCAAGACCGATTTGAAATTCAATACTAATTCCCGACTTTCCCGTTTTTCCCAACTTCTAGACACCCTATAAAAATAATAATTTTTTTTACAAAAAATCAAACTTTAAGGTTCCGATTAATTTTTTTTAATTAATTTTTCTAACTTAACCAAAAAGAATGTGAATTATCATATCTGGGGGGGGGGGGCTAAGCCCCCACAAGCCCCCCCCCCCTTTAGCCGCCACTGAGAATATATAAATTTTGTATTGTTAGAATTTTAATAAAATTGTATTTAGGCTTACCTTATTTAAGTTAAGTTGGCTAGGTATAACTAAACATGATCACATTAGTTTTGTTTACATCTGTAACTTTTATGTTATTTTGAATTTACCCCTATTTCAAAACTAAACATCATAAAAACATAATATTTATTTTCAAAGTAGGCCTTTTATTACTAATCTATATACCAAATATCACTATAATCAAAGCTGTAATCAAATGATAAATAGTTTTGGTGAAATGACAAAATGACGGTTATATACGGATAACTTTTGATTTTTTTACATTGGTCCAGAATAATGATACCTTAAAAAGTAAAAGGTCGGTAAAGAGTTTGGGATTGGGACACCCTGTAATAAAATGCTTTACCTTAATCATGACACTGCTCACCACTAATCTCTTAATAGATCAAAGTAGTTGAGCACAGAGTTGTTGACTCTGTAAAATTCTGTGCTCTGAAGAAATCAATGAAATGCAAGTTCGCTGAGATTTAAATATTAGCTTTAAATAAGTTTGATGATTACCGGTACCTCCTTATTATAAACTCTAGCTTGTACCCGGGGCTTTGCCTGCGATGGTATAACCATAAATATTATACTACAGCATAATAAATAAACATAGTATTACAATCATCACAATAAATTATCCAGTGGCTTTAAACTAAATAAAAACAACTTGTTAATAACTCTGACTAAATAATTCTACAACATGAAGTCTTGAAACTGAAAATGTCGTGTCTCTTCGGCTTCTCCAAGCATAGTTTTTTATAGCTCTATCGGCTCTTCTAATACTGCACAGGTAAAGAAACTTTTCCACCAGAACAACACATTTCAGCAGGCTCATCTTTCCATTTTAATGCTTTGCAGTGTATACACTCTCGGGAGACGGACAGCGTCCCAGATCTTTGTTTGGGTTAATCCCCTGATTTATGGCCTGAGGGTAGTGGTCACCAGTAGAGGGGTGGGGAATCGAGAACTCTGAATCCCACCGGAGGCGTTAACTTTTTGTCAAAGATTTCGCTTAGAATGCGATTACTTCTTAACTGTACATCTTTTGTTATAATTTATAACTTTATGACAAAAACTATTTTCGATTATTAACCATTATTCGATTTTTTTATTATCAGCAAGTTTGGTTGGTTTGGTTAGGTTATGATAGTTTAATTTTATAATTAAAAAAATTATAAAATTAAATGTTAGGCATTTGTCATTTTATTTTATGAACAGAACTATTTTTTTATTATTAAACCTTCATTCGATTTTTCATTATCAGCAAGTTTGGTTAGTTTGGCTAGGTTATGACAGTTAAAGTAAATTTAACTCTAACCTACAAACGATACGTTTTGACAGCGACGGTGATAGAGCTAACAATTTGCCGCGAACAGTTCGGCTATGCGCGGTATGATGCGGAAGCGTTCGACACCAAACTAAAACTGACAGGTCAACCGACCGTGATTAAGAGGATTACAGCCTCGGTCATGTGCCTACACCCATACACTCTCTGCCCATTCAATATACAGGGTGAATAAAAAGTCAAGACCCCCCCATCTAATATTTTTCCAAGTAAATATACAGAGATGTCCTTTTGGGGGTCGTGCAATCTTAGCAGGAAGTTTCATTTTATGATTTTGAAATTGTTGAGTGTCCCCCCAAAAGGGGGGATTTGGGGGGTAACTCAAATATGTTAAATGTAAACCCCCTTCAAGTGACACCTCATTTTAAAATGTTTACAAAAACTTAAAGAATGGTGAAAACTAGAGGTCACTATCTCTTCTCTGTCCAAAATGGTAGCCCGTCAAATGTTGTGGAAAATCAATGGTTAATATTGGATCGTAATGGTAATATTGGCTACCATTTTGGATAGAAAAGAGATAGCGAACTCTGGATTTCACCATTCTTTAAGTTTTTGTAAACACTTAAAAATGAGGTGTCACTTGATGGGGTTTTACATTGAAAGGTTTTTAGTTGCCCCCCAATCCCCCCTTTTGGGGGGACACTCAAAAATTTTAAACGTAAACCCCCATTTAGTGACACCTCATTTTTAAGTGTTTACAAAAACTAAAAGAATGGTGAAAACCAGAGTTTGCTATCTCTTCTCTATCCAAAATGGTAGCCAATATTACACTTACGAACCAATTTTACCATTGATTTTCCACAACATTTGACGGGCTACCATTTTGGACAGAGAAGAGATAGAGACCTCTAGTTTTCACCATTCTTTAGGTTTTTGTAAACACTTTGAAATGAGGTGTCGCTTGAAAGGGGTTTACATTTAAAATATTTGAGTTACCCCCCAAATCCCCCCTTTTGGGGGGACACTCAAAAATTTCAAAATCATAAAAAGAAACTTCCTGCTAAGATTGCATGACCCCCAAAAGGATATCTCTGTATATTTACTTGGAAAAATATTAGATGGGGGGGTCTTGACTTTTTATTCACCCTGTATTTAAATAGTTTGTATTGTCTATAGTATATTGTTGTGTGATATTCCATTGCATCAATTTTGAGCACACACCAAGTATCCAAGACTCTCTTTTGAATGCTTGTCGCCAATTATTAAATTAAAACATAAACATAACTGTAAACAATCCTACTTTGGCGGTTAGGAATGTATATTACAGCTTTTTTTGTTGCTATTTGTAATTAAAATGAGAATAATGGTACCTGAACAGAATAAGGCTTTAATTCACTAAAGAATCACACTTGAAATATGTTAGGAGTTATGTACAAACAGTCAATAAATAAACAAAATAAACAACATGTGATTAACAATTTAAAACATAAAGTAAAGAAGGAAAGGCATAGTGTAAAATGTTATAACACTATGTTGTTTAAATTTTAGCTGTTGTCATAAATGCAAAACAAAAATTAATAGAGCTGCACCCTGTAGGTAAACCTTACAAATTTTTAATGGTATTGAGTTGAGTATCATCATAGACGAAAAGAATTCAATATAAACTGTCAGCCGTCCTGTGGTTACCATAGGTTCTGGCGCACATCGCTGGGAGCGCTGTGTAGTTACATAGCGAGTAGGTTGTAACTACATGGCGCTCCCAATGGTGTGCACCAGAACCTATGGTAAGCGCAGCACAGCTGACGGTCTAAATTTAGTTTTTTTGTCTATGGTATCATAGAACCACAGACTATAGAGTACCAACTGGTTTAGTTGAAACAGCTGTCAAAATTATTTAATCCATAGCCCAAAAAATCCCAAAGTACCCATGAACTTTTGAGAGAACTAAAAGTCACACCGCCATAAACCATAATATGGTATATTATATATTATACTTAAAATGTTCGCCATGACGAGAAACTTTGCGCAAAACTATCCATTATTTAATAAATTGCCCTTTAAGGTCGTATTTCATAATACCGGTAACATTTTAAGGTCCTTCTAAAGGGAACTTTCCATATACTTCATGTTAAAAATACCTCAGCTGTACTTATTTGTATGTTATTCTTTCAATTTATTACCTTATTAAAATCACTTGTGATTATTTTTTTGTATTAGGCTACTATATTCTGTTTTGTTTATTTTAGCTTAACTTAACCAAACATTAGTTTTATTAATACCTATGAAGTCAAACGGAGTGAAGCCCGTGGCTAGTTCCTTTTAAATATGAATACTCGTGTTCGTAAGGTTAACATTGGAAAGTTCAGAGCCACTGGCGTGGAGCCCGAAAGGGTTTTTGAGATAAGGATGGATAGGCTTATATTTTAATTGGGAATATGGACTATCATAACGTCAAATTTTAGCCCAATCGGACCAGTAGATAATGCAAGGTTGAACTTCAAACAAACAAACACACTAACTTTGGCATTTACAATATTATAGTAAGATTATATTCCACAGTGCCGACAGAAGCCCCCTCAGTTAGTGTTGGTACTCGAAGACCACTTAGAACCAACACAAGCGTGACAGTGTTCTGGGACCAGACTTCTGTCTGCACAGGATATCTCCTGGGATACAACTACCAGCTGACCAAGGTTTGTCATTGACACAGTCAGTTATTGTTATAATCATGTATCAAAATGTTTTCTTACTCTTATTTCTTACTTTGTTTGCCTAATAATTACATTGGTAAAAAATAAAACTGTGTTCACAAAAATATAAAATTTACTGTTTGCAGGAATCGGAAGGCTTAAAAATTTTAGCAAGTGGTTTTACAAAGGATACCAATGTTAGTTTCCACAACCTAACGGCTAGCTCAGAATACACAGTCAAAGTGTTTGTCCATACGGTGGCAGGCTGGAACCCGCTATCATTCCTGGCCATACACATCAACACATCCGCTACAGGTTAATACTTCAATAGTTGTGTGGGCATAATACATGTTGAGTTTCTCCAGAGCATATTATTTGTTCAAATAGTCCTGATCTTGATATTTTAGTTACAAAACCAAATCTGTGTCAAACAAAATCATTGGACACCAAAGTAAAAAAAAAATGACAACCCTATGAGAAATTAATTTTGAAACCAGAGAGTTGGCTGTTATCCGCTCAAACAGTGGAGTCCATCCCTTCACATTGTTATGTTTACCGTTCCAAAATATTTACTTAAAAATTTAGTCACTGGCTCAAACAAAATCGATTTTATAGTGAGTTTCTAAGAACAACCTGTACTTAGAAATGCTTTTTGTACAAATGCTTGTAATATTACACCTAATTTGTTAACATCTCTTTAATTAAATTTTCTTTATTTTTTTAAAATTTTCTTTTAAATTTGTTTTGTGTCTCTTGTGATTTCTTTATGCTTTTTCTTTCTCTCCGTATTCATAGCACTAAGTATAGAGAAAGTGTTATTTTTGTCAAATTTTGTTTACATTGATGTTGTAGTTCCAGAGGCTGTGAGGAATCTGACAATATACAAGAGAGGCAGAGGTATGCTAGGGCTGAGATGGGCTGAACCAAAGGCCATCTATGGACAACTCAAGTCATTCACCGTGACACACAGTCTGGGCCCAGATGTTCAATCTCACATTGTTGAGCCTGTTCACTGTGTTGTATGGCCAGATCTATACTGCCATACCCTTGAGGAGCTTAAATCTAACAAACTATATACTGTTACGGTATGTTTAATCATACTTTACTTTATGCTAACAAGTATAAACTTTTTAGCAAGTAGCAGTATAGAAGTTCACTTAGGCTTTTAGCTTTGTTGAGATTTTTCAAATTGTGTGATGAAATATTTATTGAATTTTTTAGTAGTTAATAATTTTTGCATATCTTTAAATTAAATATCAGTTATTTGTTGAATAACAGTTATCTGTATATTTTAATCAAACATGGTTGGATGAAAATTGGTTTCAGAAATAGCAACTTTGTACACAAAAACTTTGGTATTAGGCATGTGCAAAGCATATTTTTAGATTAATTCTCTAGAAAACGTTAAGGGTTAAGGGTGGTCTATCTTTATCACTGTAACTTGAAACATTTTTGTTTTTTGGGGTTTGGTTCAAAAGTTTTTGTTTAATGTATATGTAACGGTTGGTACAGTGAGAAAATAAAATTTTAATGTATTCCTGTATTACTCCTGGTAAATAAATAAACATAAAAGCCCGATGGGCAGCACCATTTAGCATACTTGCAGCGGTACTTTGGTATTATATGGAGGTCACCCTTATACAGCACGCTGTGGCGGTTATATTAGGTTGTGGGTTTTCATAAATATAAAGTATGACTCATCTGTTGTGGTTCGATTCATAACAAAATGAGGAAAGTCCTACAAACATATTTATGATAACCCAACCTAACATAACCGCCGCAGCGCGCTGTAAAATAACTGGCCTCTGTATAATACCAAATTACCCATAGGTGTAATGTCAAACGATCGCGGTAAAATCTTAAACATCTCGTGAAACCACAGGGACATCATCATAGTCAACAACAATCACGATGAAATTGTGAAAATCTCCCTCAATCACAGGGATATCATCGTCGTCACTTGGGATCATAACAAATCATAAATAATTTTAGAAATTAAAATTCCATTGTTTTTTCTAAAAAAGACTTTGTGTAAAAGGCACTTTTTGCTAGCAAACTACAGGTAAATTTGACACTGCCGACAGAACAACAGAAACAAACATTCTCTTACCCAAGTAAAAATTATAAATTTGAAGCGAAATCTTCCAATTTCTGTAATTTTGTTTCTTACTCGTAAGAAATATTATACAAATCCAAGTAAATATTGTGAAGAGAGCAAACCAAAGGTAGGAAAAAGATTTCATTATTTTAAATGTTTTTAAAGTTTTTTTTCTTTCAATTTAAAGCAACTAAAAAATATGCATGACTGGCACCTAATCAAAACTTTTGATTCCGAGAAAAGTTTGTAAGCATCTATTTATTAATAACTATGGCTTAATAGTAGGTATACCCATGCCGCTTTCACTTGATCACATAAATAGCCATAACCAATTAATTACTTACACTTCCTCAACAAAAATTGTTAAGTATGGTGTCCCTCAAGGATCAATATTGGGACCCTTATTATTCTTAATTTACTTAACTGACTTCCCCTCATTGATAGAATCTCCCAATCGTGTTTGTTTATTTGCTGATGACATCAATATAAAAATATCCGGAAATTGAAATTCTGATGTGGAAGTCTCTTCTTTTGTTGAGCTTACCAAATGTAACCAATATTTAAATTAAATCAATTTATTACCGAATACAATAAAAACTAATTATATAAATTTTTCTTCAACGAGCAAAAATTCACCTGAGTTTAATATTTTTATGGATACAATTTTACTAAGTGAAGTTAAAACAATAACATTTCTTGGATTGCATTTAGATGATAAATTCAACTGGGACAGTCATGTTGAAAACGTTTGTAATAAAGTCAACTCAGGCATACATGCATTAAGACAAATGTCAAAATTTAGTAGTTTAAAAACCTTAAAAATAGTATATCATTCCTTAATTGAATCACATATTTCTTTTGGGTTGTGTCTTTATGGGGGCACATCAAATTTTAACCTAAATAGCATTCTGGAACTTCAAACATCCGCAAAAGAGCAGTTTAAAGAAATAGGAATTATGACTGTTTTTAATAGATTTATCAAATAGCCCTTTAAATTAAATCAAACCATGAAAGATTGCCAAAATTGAACTCTTTTCATACATATTCAACCAGAAAAGGTAATGAATTGGCATTCAACAGACATAATTTATCGGTTTATGAAAAAATCCCATCTTATAGTGGTGTTAAATATTTCAATAGCTTACCTGACAATATAAAAAAATATAAGTAATTTTAATTCATTTAAAAAACGTTTGAAATTATTTCTCACCAACAGACCCTTGTATAAATTAGAAGATTTTTTCCAACTTCCTGAAATTTGATTTTTTTATAATAACAATATTCTTTGTAAGTAGTCTTAAGTTTAATATTGTGTTTTTATAACTGATTCCATTCTGTACAAAATGTGCAATATGAATAAAGTTATTTTGATTGATTGATTGACTTATCGTTGCTATCGCTGATGGTCATAGTAAGTAAAAACTGTAAATTAAGTACTAACCAACTTACAGGCATATTTGGTTTCCCTCAGGTTAGTGCTCGCAATTTGGAAGTGTTGGAGGATGGAGAGCCAGCTACTGTGGCAGGCATTACCAAGGAAAGTAGTAAGTATCATAATATTTTCTTTACTTTGCATGTTTTAACAACAAAATAGTTTGATAACGTACGAGTAACAAATTAAAGACCTCCAATTAGGATCTGCGAAATCTGCATCCATGTTACCTCCAACAAAAACACCAAAACAAAAAAAAACATAATGAAAGTGTAGTTAACAAAATATCTATGAAAACTGTACGACGTTTTAGCAAAAGCACTTTTGACTCGTTTCAGGTTGAAGTAAAATATTATCAAGTTGAACTAAAATATCAATGTGTTTCTGTTGGAGTAAAAGAAGAAGTTAATGTGATGATTCTGAGGATGAAAGGGTGTGTTTTAAAATAATAAATTAGTTGATTAATTTATCGATTTGAAATATAATCTAATTTACTAATTCACACATCCATATTTCAGCCCCGATGGCCCCAGTGAACCTTACACTGATCAACAGTACGTCCACCAGTCTGGTAGTGCAATGGGGCCATCCAGAACTGGCTAATGGAATCTTAAGATCATTCCTAGTCAGTATTGAGGAAACTGAGAAGTACGACCAGGACAGCTGTTGTCAGGTTTATCCTTTAGTCGAGACATCCGTAAAAGAGGAGACTCAGAAGTATGAGGCTGAGGTAAAGCTTTATGAATTTGTTTAACACGTTCGCTGCTGAGCGCTAGATGCCGGGACGGCGCCAGTTGCTGAACTACGCTCGGCCGCTGCGTGACATTGCCACCGATACACTGAATTACAGTAAAAACAACAGTAGTTATACTGGATGGCAATGTTCTGCAATAAAACTGGCTTTGGATATAGTACTAAGGGATTCTGATAGATAGCAGCACTACCCAGGTTACAGTCGGTAAAGTAGTGTCGCTATCTAGCAGGAAAGAGGTAAAACAAAGCCCTGTTCCAAACGACCCTGGTGGTGATTTGGGAAACTATATTTTTTATTGTCAGAAAAGTACGTCCCCACAAGCTGCAAAGAAATATTGAACGCTTGTGACGTGCTGGCTTATCCATAGCAACGTTAAACAACATTGAACGGTGACGTTCTGGAACGTTCTTAGCTCCTGGCGCCGTGGCCCGGCTGACGTTCCGGAACGTCCGTAGCAGCGAACGTGTTAATTTGTTTTTATATAGAATCTAGTCTAGAATTGTTTTTCACATTATTTAAGGCAAGGCCTAAAGCTAACGACATCATCACTTGGATAAAATCCTTTGGTGATTGGCAGATTCAAACCCAGGATCGCAGGACCAAAAGACCCATGCTCTACCACTAGACCAGCTCTCGCCCAAAGCTTCATTTATTTGTAAGGAACCATCCATCTAATATTATTTCTTTAAACATATTTGGTTGCCCTAGGTTGGAAGAATGAAATAAGAATTAATTAACTTTGTGATGGCGGATGAGCGATTTAAAAAAAAAAAATTGATGTAGACCCTGTACAATAAAATCTTAAAACACTTTTAATGTACTGAATTTAAAGGACACACTACCAATACTGTGAATGCTGCACAAAAGTTGTCTGCCTTTTATAGTGTGTGCCAAAATGTTATTTGATTACCTCTTAATCGTCTACACCTATTGCTGACGTCATGGATAAACTGCCGCAAAGTGCAGTTAACGATAACAAAGTTAAAGATGACGTTTCCATTGAATCTTCACAGTGATGTTTGAATCAAGTATTGGTCAATATGTAGTGTTGATTTGTTATACCTTTGCTAGAGTATTATTCTAATGCAATAACCAGGCCTGTTACTAAAGGCTGATAAAACTATGAATTCAAATTTGCACAAAGTGACAAGAAACGGATCTTTGATGTCTTTTTTGAGACAAACTTGTAAATGTCATTAAAGGGATTCAGAACTCCTTTTGTATTTTTTTGTATTTCCTTTTAGGTGTATAATCCTTTAATTGTAATATATTTAGGTTGTTATTGATCTAATTTAACAATAATACCATAGATAAAAGGAGTATAGACACAGATACCCCACGCAATGCTAATATGTGTTAACAATTTTTGGCCGAAAAACCGACTAGATCCTAGGCGGCGCTAGTCTCGAAACCGACTAAGCGCGGTTGCCATGTCGTGCAACTCAGTCGGTCGACCGGCCAACTCAGCCGGCTGGGAGAGATTCCCTCGCCTCGCACCCGCAACGTACATACATTGCACGAGCACTTCACTCACGCTCTTCTGGCTGCTCTGTCCAGTGTTGAGCTTCAATGAAATACGTTTTCTTCTGAAAATTTTAAAGACTTTGTGTGATAAACATAACATTATTTGGTTGAATATTGTTGTACGTTTACCATAAACTAAAAAAAAATTATATACTTAATTTAAAATGTAATGTATATTTGTTTTCAATGTAAAAAAATAACTTTAAGACTGAGAACACATATCTAAATTATTGTATTTCAGTTTTTGTATGCAGGAGTCTAAGCAATATGTAACCAATGCATTGAAACGTGGAGGATTTTTTTTTTATTTCAAACATTCCAAACAGAAAATAAGTGCTATTCAGGGTGTCTTGTACACATATGAACAAACTTTGTCACGTTATTCAGCTATTAAAATAAACAAAAAAATGTAATATCGTGATTTTTACAAAAACATTGATTTTGGACTATGTTTAAAACCAAGGATAACGTTATCTATAATTGAGACGATATATATGTATAAAACAACAACCAAAGCCAACAGAGATACGTTTTATACAAAGATGAAATGGTGTACAAAGATATCCATCTTGAAAAAAAAGTTAATTCTTAGTTTTCTTTTAGATATTATAATAAGTTGTTTTACATTTTGAGCTTTTTAGGAACTTATGTCCCTATCATCAAACTAGTTAAAACATAAATAAATATCCACTATACCCATGATTTTCAACGGGGAGGGGATACAAAATTAAAAAATACTCCCTAAATCAATTACACAGTTTGAGGAAATGAACCTACTACGTACGTTTGAAGTTGTTTACGAGTACGTTTGAAGCGAAAATTCAAAGAGTAAATGATCTTAGAATTGCATCTATATTCTAAACAGACCATAACGTACACCGTTTTCATGTTTTGAAATTTCCCTGCCATTTTTGAAACAATGGAATCAATATCTGTTATGCATGTTATGGTATTTTTGAATCTAGATGCAATTTAAAGATGTTTTTACTTTTTGCATTTTTGGTCTAAACGTAGTAGTTTAGGTTAGGAGATACATGATGCAGAATGAACACCGCAAGTCATTTTTTCTTTAACACGTTGTAACTCCTAAAACGAGTAAGTAGCTTTAGAGAAAAAATGCCAAGAATAAAAACAGTTTTAATTGCATTTACTTTCCAAAACAATCCTAAAATATAGGGTCTTCCATAAGAAAAATCAAAGTTAGCGGTCATATTGGAAACGTGGCGGCTTTAATTATTTTTTCAACTTGACCATCAAATTTAAAAAATAAAAAATCCAAGGCATTTACAGTTTAACATTTTGTTATATCCCTTATAGCTTTCGAATAAAATAGCTGGCACACTTATATCAATCACCCTGTATATAAAAAAGGGCTAAGAGTATACCCGAAAATATGACTTCATTCAAGCATAGATAAATTTTATCTATGCTTCAAAAGCTTGAAGGTTTTCAAGACACAGGACGTTTAAATCGTGGCCCAGAAATCGCAAAACAGGCAGCTGTTTTTATGGTTCGAGGACTATACTATCAATGGAAATTACCCGTAGTGCAGTTTCCAATTAATTTAACAATTATTTTCTTTGTTGTCTATAACTATTAACTAATATCCTTTAAATAACTTTTACAAATTAGTAAGCTGTTTCATTGCGTGTACAGATTCTAAACTATTTTTTATTCATAGTTAATTTGAAAGGACCCTGTAACAACTATGTTTAATTTTTTATTGTTTAATTTATATTGTATTTGTATATACATTGTTACACAAAATAATGGTTTAGTTTTCAATTATTTTGTTTGTTGTTTGTCTGTCTATTCTTGTAGTTTGACGTGATTTTTTTTCTTAAATACTCCTCTTTTGTTGTTCATAATAAATATTCTGTAAATAAGTAGGCCTAGTAACTTATACAGTCGTTCCAATAGTGGTACGGTTTAAAGCTTGATTGATTAACATAAATTGAAAACTTTGCATTTTGTTTGTTGTCTATACCAAAATGTTTTGATATTGCAAGTAAAATTACTAATATTCATGATTTAGCCCTGGTTTTAAATGTCTAAATTATCAAATGGTTCAAATGTTATAAACATTTTTATGTTTCATAAAATCATGATACAGTAAGATTTACGAATATAAAAATAGTTAGTTAGTTGTTAAAAACGCGAGTTTCCTTTATAATGCTTTTACAATCTAAATCGAGACATATTTCTCGTATGCAGGCTGAAATGTAAATTAAACAATGAACTTAATCGATTTCATATTTATATTCGGAGTGAGTAGCTCAGATGCTATGGACACAAGTCGTATCAGGTGTGTCAACTGTAGAGGGCCGCTACGCTACCGCTACGATGCATAGGCCTACTGCTGCGCGCCACTGCCATTCATTCTCTGTCTCTCTCACTCCGTGGGAATCTGGGAGTATCCGCCGTCCCTGCGCTGCACGAATTGGCAACGCTGCGGGCCTGAAACGCCAAAACAGCGACTGCACTAGCTCAAATACGGCGTTCGCGACTTCCCTATCTCGTGGGGTATCTGTGTCTACTTCTTTTCATCTATGATAATACCGAAACCCTACCCAGGCTGACGCTATCCGAAATCCTGGGCCTGTGAGACCCCGCTTTAAAATACACTAACGCTGGGCTTCTGAGACGGGCATGTCATGAACAGACAACCTGACAAGGTCACGGCACCCACGCAAAATGAACAAACAATATATCAACCGGTATGGGAGGAAAAGGGGGGAAGGTATTGGGGGGAATGGAATCCCCTAAGTAAACAGTGTTGCAAACATGCGTTTGTAAAAATTCCCGTGGGACTGTCAGACCGGGGTTTCGGTATTAAAGGAATGTAGTAAAAAATGTATACATCTCACTACAGTATATGGTCAGTAAAATTTATTAGCTGAAAATTAAAGTTTTTTTATAATTCTTAAAATTTATATAACTTAGTACCATATGTCCTGTTTTAATTATCTTGGTCTTGAATTATATCCTTGGTCTTAAACTAAAAATTAATGTACTACACATATGTCTGAGTTTAACTTTAATATTTTTTAAATAGTATCAAATGTTAAGAATTTATTTGATTTTTTGTTAATTTGTAAATAAAAACTTATTTTACCTAATGGTTTTATAGTATGTTTTTTTTAGACTTTTATATTCAAAAGTCATGAACAAAATTTCAGAACTGTTGCTCAAGTAGTGTGTTTGGAATATCAAATTTTGTACACTGAAAAATGGAATTTTTAAAGTTGTGGGAATCAGCGCTTACATTTTTTCTACTGATTTTATTATTTTTTATGTGATGTCATGTTATTGCTGAACACGATATGTCCATTTTCAACCTAAAATAAAGCAAAAAAGTGTGTCCTCCTCCTCTATGGTGTCCTTGCAAAACAGGTGTTATGTGCAATTTAAACTCAATAATGCCGTCAACTTCCACCCAAGCCAAACACCGTTTATTTAAGGTGGGCCTCTCCTGCCAGCTAAGCCACACATTATTGAGCTTAGTCAGGATTGTAAACCGACCTAAAATGATTATTTTGTCAAAAAAGTGTATGCACGCTCAACTTGAAATGTTTTTCTCTCCGTGAAATATGTATGTTTACATCAAATTGTCAGGTTTTTCTCGTAGAGGAAAATCTAAATAAAAATTTAGTTCAAAAAAACAAAGTTCCAGAATTTTGAACATTTTCAGTAGGTAGCGAATCCCCTTAAGGTTGACTGATCTTTGGATCACTGAACACTTTATTTGTAATAATTTAAAAAATGTGCAATCGTAGGTGTCAGGACTACACCCAGCTTCAACATACTATGTTAGTGTGAACGCCAAAACTGTGGGTCTGGGTCCTTCCCAGTCTCTGGTAGCTTCTACAGCTCCACCAAACTTGCCTCTAACGATCCTTCCAAGTGTCGTTGTTCCTACTGCAGACCAAACCCCTTTCGCGGTTGGAACCTCATCCGAGAACTCTTGGTTACCTCAGGATAAACTTCAAGAGGTCAACAACTCTCAAATTTACACACCATTAATCAAGTAAGTCAGTGCATTGCAGCCATTTTACTTACTCTAATGTTTGTTCAAGAGATCTACAATCTTTGTTCAATTTAATGATTATTATAAAAAATAAAGTTACGTCACTATTATTTGGGGCAAAAATGCTGTTGAAATAATACAATAAACTACTTTACTTTTAATGAAAGTACATAAAAATACACCGTGTCCAAAAAAAAAACTGAACAATTTTAAATTGTTATATAATACGTCCAGGCATACCTAGTCTACTTTGAAGGTGATCATATGATAACTGTGCTCATGAAGTTTTGTTCAATATCAATTGTAACTATCAGCTAATTCATTGTTGTCGCTTGAAACTTAAAATTTAAAAACATTGTCCTGTCATTAAGCAGGCACCATGAACGCACGAGAGAAAGCGCAATGTGTTGAGTGGTACATTGAAAGTAAGTCAGATATTGCAGTGCAAAGAACATTTAGACGCTATGGTCGACGTCCTCCATCACGGAACAGCATTCGAGCCTGGTATGACAAATTTATGTTAACTGGAAGCTTACAACATTTAAAAGGTAAAGGTAGGCCAAAAATCCAAAATGAATTGATTGAAAACGTGCAACAATTATTTCTTCACGACCCTCGAAAGTCTGTTCGCTGTGCAGCATATGAGTTAAATTTGTCAAAATTATAAGTTTATAAGACAGAATGTCTGAGAATTGAGGCAAAGAATAAATGCAGCCTTTACTAACATTACTGACGAAATGCGCCATAGATTGTGGGCTGAATTGGACAGCCGTATTGACTATCTTTTTGCCAACAATGGCAAACATGTTGAAAATCATTAACACATATGATATCAAACAAAACTTAGTAATATTTGTGTCAGTTAAAATGTAATTAGTTTATCGTGTGATTGTTAATAAACTTTTTATAAGTAAATAAAATTGTTCAGTTTTTTTTGGGACACGGTGTATGTCTAATAACACTTGTAATAATATATTTACACTTACTGTTGACTCACAAGACATATAAAACATAGTAACTGGTGATCGATTTCGATTGGACACTCAATCATCCTCAGACCCAATAGGTGAATGTGTCATTTAGTATTTACCATCTTGTTAGTCAACAGTGTCAGTGAATTTATTATTACAAGTGTTATTAGACATATTTTTATGTACAGTACTTTTAGCAAATTTAACTACAGGTACGATGATAATCAAGAAGTTATTTACTTTTAAATATAACCTTACTTCCATCTTTTTAGTAAATTAAGTTTTCTAAAGCATTTATCAACTAATATGCCCTTGTAGCCCTCCGTTTGCTTAGACAACATTAGCCTCAAGCTTCTATGGGTGAGATTAGCTATATATAGTTCTAATGATTAATAGTTCTGAGTTTATTGTTTTCAGTGATGTTTGGTTTGTCAGAACAACTACTGACACTTGTGACAGTCTGTATTTTTCTTTTTTTCTTTGTTGTTAGTTTAGTTAGTATTCAATTTTCAAGAATCCATTTGATACAATTTAATCCAAGTAGAAGAATTGACTGTTTCTCTATTAACCCTCCGAGTGTCCCTTGTTTTGGCCTTAATGTCTGCCTATTTATTGCTCATTTGCAAGGTTTTATTAAAACGGATCTGAGAAGCTTGAAAACAATGTTAATTATACTGTTCTATATACCATTTTGTTTGGAAAATCATGGGCTTCAATATTATACATAGAACATAAGGAACGTTTGTTTCAAAAAAATTTTTAGGTAAAAAAAATATTTTGGAAAATTTTCAAAAAAAAAAATAGGTTTGCGCTCAATGAAATTGTATACATTATAGGCCTATATATATTTGAAAATAGCCACTTTGTTCTAAATTTTATGAGGATTACAAATATATAATAATATAAGGAAGTAGATTTGCAAATAAATAAGTTATGGGCAAAAAACAGATTTCAGTACATAGCGTTTAGCTAAGAATGCATATCCTAACCATAGCTAGGAATCTGGCTGATAATTTACATCAATATTACTACCTACTTCTTCGGGATCATCAACCAGCCCTTCAAAATCGCTTAAACCTTCTTATAATGCACCACGTATATCACTACTTTTGATTTTTAACACTAAAACAATGATAAACGTAATAAAACACATCAGTCATCGGTCCGAGGTTAACCAAGCTGTTTACAAATACGCACGTCAGCTGTCTGCTACAATATTTTCGGAACTAAAATGAATAGCGCTTAGAGACAGACCTCCGGAGAAAGCCACCCAAACCGATCTTGTAATCCCGGCCAACTCAAATCACCCTTACAACCAAAAAATGGCAGCTTTCAGATCTCTAGTATATAGGTTACTGAACTACAACCTCAACCAAGCCGAGTACACCAAAGAAAAACAAATAATAGAAAATATAGCAATTAACAATGGATACGACCCTCATATTATCGATAAAATGATTAATAAAATACTAAAGAAACTAAAACCTAACCCTCCAACAGACATCATAGATGACGAAAAGACAATAGAACGAACTAAATATATACCAATCAACTATACAGATCGAATAACAGAGAAAATTGGAAAAGTCTTCAACAATGCAGGACATAAACCAGCATACAGAGTCAAAACAAATCCCGTCCCAAACTACAGAATAGCTGAGAAAACTGACATCCCAATAGAACAAGAAAAAGGCGTATATAAAATAACATGTGCACCACCATGTCAAAAAGAATACATTGGCTATACTAACAGATCATTTAAACAGCGATTCAAAGAACATAGTGCCAGCCACTACGCCAATCCAGAATCATTAGTCGCCAAACACCTGAAAAGTAATCAGAATCACCACATCTCATTTCCAGAATCATTAACAATCCTCAAACGCACAAATTCTAAGTCAATAGCGAAAGTCCAAGAAAGCTGCATACAGGGTGTTGAAAATGTCTGGAACCAACATTATATCTGGTGAGTGGTTAAAGAAAAACAACTGATATTTTGTGTACGGATATACTATGGTTTTACCTATCTTTTGGTGCCTTATGACATTTTTTACCACTTATAGGGAACGTCCTGTGGAGGATGCAGTAAAAAGTTTTAATGGAAGCCTATGGTAAATGATACATCATTTTAAAGGCCATTTTTTTCTGAGTAAGGAGCCACAAGTTTCATCTCAAAAGGACCACCCTAGCAAAAATGGCGACTGTTTGAAATTTAAAAACGTTGCTATATTTAAATGGTCCGTATTTGTTTCCTTTAAATGCTATTACAAGCCAGTTACGAAGTATAGTAGTTTATCACGTGGTGAACTGAAAAATGACTGAAAAAACATTTAACTAAATTGTTTGTGTTGTTTTACTAAACTTATTTTTAACAGAAATACCAATTAAGCTTTCAATTATTTTCAAAACCTTCAAACAGGCGCCATTTTCGCTAGGGTGGTCCGTTTGAGATGAAACTTGCGGCTCCTTACTCAGAAGAAAATGGCCTTTAAAATGATGTATCATTTACCATAGGCTTCCTTCAAAGCTTTTTACTGCATCCTCCACAGGACGTTCCCTATAAGTGGGTTTTTAAATTTCAAACAGTCGCCATTTTTGCTAGGGTGGTCCTTTTGAGATGAAACTTGCGGTTCCTTACTCAGAAATAAATGGCCTTTAAAATGATGTATCATTTACTATAGGCTTCCGTTAAAATTTTTTACTGCATCCTCCACAGGACGTTCCCTATAAGTGGTAAAAAATTTCACAAGGCACCAAAAGATAGGTAAAACCATAGTATATCCGTACACAGAATATCAGTTGTTTTTCTTTAACCACTCACCAGATATAATGTTGGTTCCAGACATTTTCAACACCCTGTATATAAACATACCCATAGTTCAAATGCAGACACCCTGTTAAACAAAAAAGAAGATTACAACAATTCAATAATTTTCAAACTTATAAACCATCTAGAAGATCAATGTGGCAACAGCGCAGAGACTTGGCAATGTCGCAGTCCAAGAAGAGAAAGCTCTAACATCGTAAACTCACCCCCATCCCCTGACCGAACCTCCCCAAACATACCTCCTCAAGCCAGTTGTCAGTCAAATAGTGACACATGTAGTGCCTCCAGTCCGCGCACGCGTTCGCGCGCTGTGTTCCTATGACTTTACCGTAAATCGTCATCCGACCGAAAATGTAAATATTTGTAAATAGTGTTGTGTTAAATAGCCTAATGTGACAAACTGTGCTCCTGACGATGCTACACATGTAGCGAAATGTACATCGAGCAAGATATCTACACATTTCAAGAATCTGGCAACCACAAGGTAAACTAGTTTATTAATAATTCGTTCTTGAAGCTGGAATAATACACAACTTATAAAGTGTTTGTGAGTCGCTGCAGCGACAAATAACACTCGGAGGGTTAATCCAAATTCAAAAGATCTAAAAGATCTACAGCAGTCTACACTTTAACATACAATAAACGGAATTTGCTTGACAACTTTCTGATTCCATCAATTATTTCTATGTGCTATTTATATAGAAAAATACTTTTGAAAACAGAAGACTGGTCCGATTTATTCAACAATGTAGAAAGCATTCGTCTAGTTCAACTACATTTTATTATTAATCTTAAAAATATTTTGCTCTATCTTGTTTATGACTCTGTTTTCTGAATGTTTAGGACACATCTTATACTAGCTGTGCTCAGCAACTCCTCATCTATAACTCCATCAGAGTCTGGCATCTCAGATCCCAAGCTGGACTCACTCCTGCGACAGAAGATTGGGAAACCTTTCTACTTTACAAATGAATTCACCCAGGTTTGGAAATAAAATAAAAACGATTGATTTATGGCAAAATACAAAGTATCTATAAACTATACCTTCCGCAAAGATTCGTGGCGGCTGAGGGATTAGGACGGTCGGGTGGTGTCTCAGCCTCTAAATTAGCCCTCACTCGACTGCTCTGGGTTTTGACCATGAGTCTCCCACTAGGATCAATGCATAGTTGGAAGAATTTTTGTATATCACCATAAAGTGTATTAAATAACGCCAGTTTTGTAACCTGCGCCAAATAACAAGAACATTGAGCCCAAACACGAAATAATTGTGACGATATTAAGTATACATTTGGTTTCAAAATAATAGACAGTTTTCGTGTCGTGGTATGCCTAATATCATCGCAATTATTTTGTGTTTGGGCTCAATGTTCTTGTTATTTGATGCAGGTTACAAAAATGACGTTATTTAATACACATTATGGTGATATACAAACATTTTACCAACTATGCATTAAGCCCGGTGGCTGACTCATTGTCAAAACCCAGAGCAGCCGAGCGAAGGCTAATTTAGGGGCTGGGACACCACCCGACCGTCCTAATCCTTCAGCCGCCACAAATCTTTGTGGAAGGTATAATGTGAACAATTTAACCCTTAAAACTCTACTGATTATTTAGGGATCTCATAATTCCATTTTTATTATTTTTTCCCTCATTTTATGAACATAACAAATTATTTTAATTTTAAAACAAGCTATTGGTGGACACACTCGCAAAGAGTAAGAATATGCAAAAAGTAGTTACCCGATTAGAGGGGCAACTTATAAGTAATTAATCCATCTTGTCAACTTGCACTAGAACCATATTATTTATACAAAAGGGAAAAAATAACTTTAAACTGTAAAAACCTTAGGAAGACTAACCGTATAAAAGCTCTGTGTCATCGCTGAGTCGAGTGAGAGGAGTGTAGATGAGCAAAGCTCGTTCACAATCAGTTTGCTTACAACTTAAAACTATGAAAACCCAGGACTCACATATGTTAATAGAAAAGATGCAAAAATTAATTCAGATTCACTTGGTCTTATGAATAGACTCACTAAGTGACTCATATGGAAAAGGCCGAACATATACTAGGTAACTCGGAACCAGACGAATCAGACGACACTCATAGATTCACACTACACATTGTCGTGGTTACCAATTAGGCTTGTTGTAAGCCTACATCGTTGTACCGCACCCTTGTCAATTAAATATATTAATATTACTATTATCAACTTTCCTTGAACAAAACTATTTTTAAAAGGGTTATTGAATTGTAAAACAAAGGGAATATTGATGTTGTAGAAATAGCAGAGTTGAGCTGCAGCGGTAATTACTCTGATTATATAAAATAATTTAGGCAGTTAGTTAACATGAAACTAATTTAATTGGGAATAAGATAGAATACAGAATGCAACAACAACTGAATGTCAACTATAAACAAACTCATAACAATATAGAAATATAACATAAACCATATGTTATAACAAATTAGGCAGGCAATGTGAATATGTAAGTTAGACATTACAACAAATATTGTGTGTTTTATGTCTCTTCCCTGTGTTCAATGGCCTACCCGTGCTTCTTAGGTAGGTCTTTAGGTAAGCTAGCTGCGATCCCCTTCATTCTACATTTCAAAATCCTGGCCTAGAGCCTTTCCTTGAACAAAACTAAAAGCTAAAACCAATAATGCAAAATAGTTTTAAAGTTGAAATAATTTAGAGTAAGAAAGCCCAGAAGATTCAAAACACAACACCCTCCGAGATTAAGATTGGATGGTTCGCAGACTAATACTGAAACTGTAGTTTTGGTTTTAAAACAATTGACAGAAATTCCATCAAAATAAATAAATTTGTAATGATTCATATTTTTTACAATCTGAACAAACAATGTATTTTTCCTACAGTTACCTAACAATGTACATGTTCTCTCACTGATTTGAGAAAGCAAAGTGGCCAATTCGCTCATCAGTGAGACAATGTTAACATTGTCTCACTCTAATTACTTTGTCTCACTCCAGATTTGCAACGTGAAGGCACGAAATAGTGAGCGCGTAACATGCAGGTAACGTCGTATGCGCGTGAAATACGTTGGCAGCATCGGCTGTAAATCAGCTGGTCAGCTGTTGTACTGTTGTATTTGTCACTTCACATTAAATGTTATATTAAAAGTTCACTTCTGTGTAAAAATAGGTTATGTTTCTTCACAAATTATGGTAACAAATTATGGTTTTATGGTAACTCTAGGAAAAGTATAATGTGCAACTCGAGTTCAAAGTACAATTGCCTCACTCGAGAAACAATTCCTCACTCGCCTACGGCTCGTGAGTAAGGATTTCTCTCGAGTAAGTCAATTGCTCACTTTTCTCACTAGTTGCACAAATAACTATTTACAATCTGAACTAACTATGTATTTTTTTTTTCTTTTGGAAACCCTAGCTGTCCAAGATTTACAACAATGGAATCAATCAATATACCAATGCAACTTTTAGTGATGTAATGTAAATTAAAAACAAAAATAAATAAGTGGTGTTGTTTCATGGTGTTGTATCATGACAAAGTATTTAAAGATTATTATTACCAAACATAGAACCAATAACTATGATCTCATTACAAGGTCGAGTTAATGGATCAAGGCCAGAAGGGTAAAGTAATTGGAAAATATAACTACCATTAAGATTTTCTCAAACTATTAAGGCATTTAAGTGATTATTAATGCTCATGATATTTATTTTCGCTGTTGTAGGATGAAGAAGAAGAGATTTTCTTGACATTTGATGTTCCAAATGACATAGAATCTACTTGGGGATATCCAGTACCACTTCCTCGACCTGCAGAATACAAGATAGCAGCCACACAAGTCTTGGAGTACAATGGAGCTTACAATGTGGACATTCGCTACTCACCAACATTCTGGTTCGATTAAACAACTGTTGGACGAAGTTTGCTATATCAACTGTAAATAGAGTATATGGGAAATAAAGTTTAGTTTGTTTTGGGGAAATTGTTGTTTGATATTCAGTAAAAGTTAATTAATAAACTATGCAATATTGTGTACAAATTTACTTACATGCAATCTGGTTCATCGGTATTTTGGACTGATATCCCATTCAAAAATATTTGATTGCTGGTGATTATGATGATATCTTTTCTTGTAGCAATTTCCATTTTCAAGAAAATTCAACAAGAGATATAAAGTAGGTTTGCTTTTCATATCTCTTACAATGGGTTTTTTCATTGACTATTGCTATTGACTATTGGATACAGAAGTAGACGACTCCTGACAGCTGTCATCAATTTTTCACTAAAAAAGAACTTAGTTGTGTAAGCCAGTCACAGAATGTGCTAGTGTCTAACATTCTATTTTCTACCTTAATTTTTGTTGCTGACATAGCTAAATGGGTCACAACAAATGCTATAGCTTACAATAAGAGCCTTATTATGCGCGGCCACTCGAGTCGCGCGCGACCGCGACTGCCAGTCGCTTGGGGTAGCCACAGGTGTGGCTTGGGGTAGCGACAGGTGTGGCGAGGCCACGCGACTGACCGAATTTTTACAGACATAAATGTAGTTTCTCAGATTGAATAAGTAAAGAAGCTGAACTATTTATTTTACTTTTACTTAAGCGTCGTAAACGTAGAGACTTATCTGTATCGCATAAAAAAATTAATAATTTTATTTCAGCTAAGGAGAGACAAGCAATTACCTTAAATTCAATATTATAATGGTTTTGACTTGATTTAATCATAATATTAATTAATTCAATATTAGCAGCAAAACTCGGCGTTGCCCGGGTCAACATAGTATTCACAATAATGGTAATAATTGATTAATGGTAATCATCTCAAATGAAAGCCTTCGATTTGAAGGGTAGCCTATTTTAAGACCAATAGATGTAGAATAGCTTAAATAAAAAATGAAGTTACCTACGTATCATTGATTGCAGTTAAGTGTTTAAATAATAATAATTATTGTTGATTCGTGATTCAGTAGCGTGCTTCACGTACGTCCAATTTTAATAATCAACAGCTCAAAATTAAAGCTGGAATTTCACTGAAGGTTCTTAGACCAAAACATATAGGCCTAGGACAATGTAATGAGAACTGGCGCAATACCGCTTTAATTGAAGTAAGAATTTGAAAAAATTGGATTTATTTATTTTTTGCCGAGAAATACAGTAGATACATGAATGATGATACTTGGTGGCAAATCAGTTCGTGAATACTTTTAATTTAAGACCTAAATTTATGAAAATTGGTCAGGTAGAAGAGCCTAATCGACTCGGAAAATAAAACCAATATTTATTAATATATAGATAATATAATTAATATAATAAAATGTTGAAACAAAATCAGGACTGAGGCGAGGGCAGAGAGTAGGGTCCGCTGTGGCCCGCGACTGTGGCTGCGCGTAAACAGCATATGATAACATGGCCCGCTGGTGGTGCGACAGTCGCGTGGGCTCGCGACTAGTAGCGAGGGTGCGCGACTGGTGTGGCCAGTCGCGGGGACTGTCACGTGCCTCGCCACCGCAGTCGCGTCGCTTAATAAGCTCCATATGATAACATGGCCCGCTAAAAGTGGCCTGTCGCGCGCCACTCGAGTGGCCGCGCATAATAAGGCTCTTAGTCACTTGGAAAAAAGTTTGTGTATTCAACAGGAATTAGTAATTTAGATCAGCACAATTTATTGGTGGCTCACATCTATGTAAATTTTGGTTAGAAAACAAGAAAAAATTTTAACATGGGGGTAGAAAGTCTAGTTCTAGGTTCTTTGTATGCATTAAGTATCTTTTTAAATTAAAAAAGTTTGAAGGAAGCTGTGATAAAGTAGGGGAACACGCTTACACTGAGGATTTTTAATGAGGTGAAGTGTTTGCAGGCCGTAGATAGTTGCAAAGGACTATTTCATCAAGCAGCTTATTTATTTAGCCTTGGTTAGTTATTTAGCCTTCATTGTGACAAACTACCTGACTACCTCTAAATACTTAAGTTGATGTCCCAATCTTTGTTATAGAAGAAAATACGTACAAAATGTTTCTGTATCCATCTTTCTATGATGTTTTGAATTTCGTCAAAACTTATATGAACTGAAAGCAAGATTGACGTGGTCTATACAAGATATTAAATGGTCATTTCCCAATAATTAGCATAGTGAGTTTCTTACCCAATATAAATTTCAAAGTAAAAAAAATAACGGTATAAATTGGGATAAATATCAAACATGGATAGCTTCAGAAAAGTTATGAGAGTATATGTTAATAAATAATGTTAACGCTATACAAATATTTATACATACAAAAAAACAAACCAAATATTATACCCTTGTGACTTGTATGACTAGTGGAGGTATTAGTTTCCATATATGCTTTTCCTTGGAAGTGCACTGGATGTTGACCTTGTACTGGCCTGGAGTGAGGAAAACCACTATACATTCGTGGTATGCCTGGCCTAACTCTGCTACCTGAAAGAACAACTTATATTTAAAAAAAAACTATACATCAAAACAAAATCCAAAACTAAACATATTGACAGATACATTTAACTTGTTTCCCCACAATTACTGATAACACCATGCATTATTAATCACATAATTCACACCTCTTCACTTCTTTACCCCTAGTTGCTTCACCCAATTTTTATCCTTATCATAGTTCCTTCGTTACCATATTTAATCATTCTGATCAATTACTTGTCAAGCCTCATACTAAATTTTGGATACTTACCTAGATATACTATGTTAATGGACTGGTTGTAGAAAATTAAAACAGAAGTTAGTTATAACTGCTCACATAGTAACTGCTGTTGGTACAATGATATGCGATGTGACACAAGATACTGTTGTTTACAATAAGGTTAGTTAAGTACCATACGTCTTCCAATTCAACTTGGTTAAATGTCAGCGTGTTCAACAAACATCAGTAATTAACATCAACACTTTTGGCGGCTCAATTTAACTATTTTTATTTGTATTCTAAAACTGGGTGAAGCTATTGGAATTTCTCAAAGCTATGACTCAACCTTCATCCGTCCCTTACCTCGTCCAGTTGGAGTTGGACACAGGTGGCGCCGGAGCAAGCTATCCTTGTGTCCAGCTGGTAGTTGGTGGCGCCGTTCTGGGGCCCATTTCATAATAAAATACAAGTTACAAGTTACAACTTGTAACTTGTAATTTCCATAAGATTTGCATTGGGCGATCAGCTGATTTACTAATAATATTAGTTTGTACTTTATTATGAAATGGGCCCCTGGTGGTCCTGGAAGAACTGAACAGTGAACATCCAGCTCTAGCTCCCGCAGTGGCCATGATAGGGAGTTGATCAGGTTGACGGCCAGCAGCAGACTCTGGCCTACCTGACTGGTAAACTCTTGCTGAGGCTCCACCTTGCTGCTGTTGATCATCACCTCTGCGACAGTTAGACACAGTCATCAGTTTACTCAGATTAGAGTTGTCTAAGCAACTTGATTTTATTTTCAAGTCAAGCTGAGCCCACTTGTATATTAGTTTTTTTTATCGATCCTCATGGACGACTTTCAAATGAAGGGGCTTGAAGATGGTTCAACCATTAACCCTTTGAGGTCGAATTTTGTTCCCATTTTCGCCGATTATAGTTTGCCATTAGAGCAGTCGGGAAAATGGCGGGCGGCGACCTATTCTCGCCATTCGACCGCAAAGGGAATAAATCAAGTAAAATTATAGCAACCAAGGATTATTTTATGTAGGTATTTGTTTCATACTAAAACGAAACTGTATGTTCTCAATACGAGTGTTGTGGGACTTAAGTAGCTGCCTTTTCCCCATGGCAAGCTGGAGTCAGGAAACCATTTTTTGAGCTAATCTATAAAGGTAAACAATGTAATAAATTTACATTTCATGATATATGTATACTGTATTTAGCTTAAAGAATGGTAGTATGACAAAAATATAAATTACACAACGTGAAAGTGTATTTTTAACCCTCATTTTCTGAACGAGGCTAAAATTAAGCTTGTGTCAAAAAACTTGCCTCAGACCTTATTCATAAAAAATACACCATTACTTAAAAAAATTATAAAAATGTTGGTTGAAATGACAAGTGTTACAACTGACCCCAGTTGATGGGAGACATGCGCACGATGTCCAGCATGCCCAAGGACAGGCAACTTAAACCTACCTTCTGCTGAGACTAATAGAAATTTGGAGGGTAGGCCTAGGCCTAGATTAAGTCAAAGTGAGCTTAGGCTGGCTTGTGTGAATGTGCAGTGCCTTAGGACTAAAATAAATCTGCTATCTTTATTTATAAATGACGTGTCTCCTGATGTTCTATGTCTGAGTGAACATTGGCTAGAAGAGAATGAGGCTGAATTTTATTGTGAGATAAACTCAATGTCACTGGCGAGCGGCCTTTATAGAACAAATCGTAAGAATGGTGGTGTAGCAATAATCTCAATAACACCATCAAATACAAGCATATTAATTTAAGTGCATTCTGTTCCGAAACAGACTTTGAACTTACAGGAGTGGAACTGGTTGACCTCTCACTCTTAGTAATATCTGTATATAGAGCCCCTAGTGGGAATATTGAAACTTTCTTTTCAAATTTGGACCGATGCTTAATGTGGCTGACTTTGTTCAAAACTCCAATAATACTGGGTGGTGATTTTAATATCTATCTAAATCAAGATGAAATAAGAACGCATAGACTCGATTTTCTGCTAAAAAGTCATGGACTATTTGTGACAAATCGATCTCCTACACGTGGCCCTGTACCGCTTGGATACTTTTGCAACTTCGCTTGACACCAGGACCTGAATGACTTCTGTCGCTGACTCGATAGTGGCTGATCACTGCCCGGTAATCCTGGATGTTCCCACTCAATGGGTGAGTAACTCTGATTTTTTACCCTGGTTTACTAAGTACAGCAAAATTATAAGACCTGTTTGTGAAGATAAGTTTGGTTATCTTAGGCTATCTCTATTAAGTAAAGACTGGAATGCGGAAATTCAGACCAATGACCCAATGACAGCTTTTGACTCCTTTTTTAGTATTTTTATGGACTGTTTTGACCAGGTCTTTCCTCAAAAAAT